GTATCTTTTCCTGCATGTTTCTCATAATATTAGGGGATTTAGAAAACATTTTTGGAATTTTTTTTTCTATAAAATCTTCACTCAAGATGTGAACTTTTCATGTCATTTTTGATCAAAAACTAAAAAGTTTTGATAAAAATTTTGTAATTTTTTTTTTTATTATTATTATCTTTTCCTGCATGTTTGTCATAAAATTAGGGCATTTAGAGAACATTTTTTGAAATCTTTTTTTTTTAAATGTTAAAGTCAAAATCTGAAGTTTTTGTGTCATTTCCGGTCAAAAACTAAAAAAGTTTGAAAAGAATTCTGTAAAATTATTTTTTTAAATTGTACCTTTTTTTGCATGTTTCTCAACAAAATGTAGCGTTTTAAAAAAATCTTAGAAAAAAGATGAAAATGTACATTGCTACATATTTAGTATATTATTTAAGTATATTAGCACATTTCTATTTATTATGAGAAACTTTTTGAGGCCTTTTTTAGTAAGTGTCGTCTTCAAAAATAGATGTTTCTCAAAAGTGAATAAAAATGCACTAATATGCCTTATATGCCACCACATTGGAAACACTATGAAACAGTGAATGACTGAAATTCAATTTTATTGAATTTTTAGACAGTGATTCATTATTTTATTCAATACAACATATTGGAGATTCATTGATAAAGAGCATCATTTACCTCTGTGGGAACAAGCACAAGTGCACACACAGGTGTAGATATTCACACACAAATATGACATTGTGCTTTAAAGAGATCTTCAATCTTAAATTATGCATCTGACAGTTAACAGTTGAAAACACACACACACACACGCACGCACACACACACTCAGAGAACGTGGCTAAACTGACTTGTACTCACATGGCATTTTTCACCTGATGTAATATTTAATGGAGGAACATGGCAGGTTTCAACACAGTACTGTTGAGTCAGTAGAAAAAAAGAGCATCAGATCCAACAAATATATTTTTTTCACACTGTAGATTTGATCACACTGTTGTACAGTGCGCAGTTGTACTGTAGAGGCAACATAAAGGTGATTAATGCTGTTATGACTTTAAGAGTCTGCTCTCTGTAACAGCACGGGGGCGCCTCAGTGGAGTGGTCTCTCCTTGGAAACCACTTTATGTTGCTTTGCATTTGCAGTGATATTTTGAGCTAATTATAACACGAACATCTCAACATAGAGGGGATGGAGACATTTTTGTCTTTTTTTTTCTACTGACACAATGTGACGATTGTTGTAATCTGTTCAGCTTCTCCTTCTATTTATTTCCTAACAGTTTAGAGTATATATCTAGGATAGAATGTGTATGTGTTTGAGGACAGAGTACTGGGCTGGTGAGATGCAAAAGTTAATTTATGGCACAAGGTGTTTTTTTTTTTTTGGTCTCACCTTGTGTTTATATTGTTGTTTGCTGATGCACACGTTGAATCTTGCTCTGAAGTACTGAGGCAGTGTAACCACTGAAGGTGACATTATTGCATCACTGCTTCTCATGCATACAACTACAATACAACACTATAGACTCTATAAATGGGTTTGCCCGGTGCTCTGTCCAGTGTAAATTGCGTTTCCTCCACCCTACTGTGAACATTGATGCTACTCTGTAGATGCTGCCAAGCCTCGTGCTCCACTTTACAGCTTCTGCAGACTGCAGGTGCACGGACTGGTAGATGCTACAGAGTACTTTTATAGAGAGTAAAACTGAAAGTAATCTCTTGTAAAATGTAGTTTCATTTGAAAGTCTACACAAAAGCACAGCAGCTCAACTCACTGCTTCGCATCCGCCTTTCCTGCCTCAATCATATCATGGTGTTTGCAGGACTTTGAGGTGACTCTTCAGGATGTTTGGGTTTAGGAGCTGCTGGCACCCGCTGGGTCCACTCTGCTGAGAAAAAGAACAGGCGGACAGAGGCGTTAAAGACCTGTACGTTTATGCACGGCTGACAGACTGCAGACACTCCGCCGTTTCTCTTCTCCACGTGTGAACTTGGACGACTTACTCTGCTCTGCCGGACGCTGTTGGCTCCATTCCCTGCAGGAAACTGTTCACTCTTGAATGAAAAGGTGGGGAAAATGGAGAGGTTGTTAGAGGCAGGATTTACTGTAGTAACGTGTTGGTATGCTGTGAATTTAAAGACGTGCAGTTGACAATTCGCAGCACGATTAGTCAGCAGAAGATTAGTGTGTAATGCTACAGCTTTGTTCCTTCATTCATTATCAGAGTAATAGATCATTCAGCAATGAAGATGGCCTCGTTTATTACACCGCGATGATTAATGAGATGAAAGCAACGCATTTTGCAACTTTAGCAACTTTTTTTTTTTTTTTAGCGGTCTCTTTTCTACGTTTGCCAAATTCAATTCCAGTCAGAAAGGAGTGTGTGTGATTTCAGAGCATGCCGTTTGATAAATGAGCACTGCAGCCATTGATAACACGGCGACAGAGACCAGAGTCTCCACAGAGGGCAGTAATGAGGGACAGGACAGTCTCTGCTTACTTTGAGTTCTCGGCTGCTTCCTTCAGCTCCTTGTCCAGTCTGGAGGTGAGAGTTCAAATGACAAGATGAATTTAAAGCCATTTGAAGAGACGACTCTGACGTGAAGGTGGTGCAGTGGTCTCACCTAATGATGCACTCTGGGATCTGGACCTGTTCCATTGGGATGAGCTCCTGCAGTTCATCCAAATTGTTCACATACTTTATCTTGCTGCTGAACTTGGCGCTGAGACAACGTCGATACACACACACACACACACACACACACGCGTGCACAAAAACAAATTTGAATGCAATGATTGGCATGTTTACTTTAGCTCAGCCCAGAACAATCTTAAACACCGGTGTGGAAACAAAGATTAACATATCACATTCAAAGGTACATTTTAAACAGTTATAAACAATGGTATGTCTGACCCAGTGTGACCCAGTGTGTGATTATAATCTCCCTCTTGTGACTGAGAACAGCTCGTTTTTCCAGATTTCCAGAGCTACATCTACTTGTTTGTTGATTCTGGTGCTTGACTTCTACTAACCTTCTCAGCTAACCTGAGTCACAGGGACATAGACTGATCCCGTAGCCAATGGAACTAAAATAACATAACTTTGAATAAAGTTTTGAAGCCAGCCCCTGCTGGTCATGAGTAGTCCTGCGCCTCACTGTCATCTCATTTGGTTTTTAATCATTTTTGTAAAACATTTTACATTGTTTTACTTTGTATTATTATTGTTAATATAAACTCAGCATACTGACTGCATATACATTCCTCAATTTTTCTCTGTTTTATGGGTTTTTTAAAGGAGGAGATTTAAAATTTTAATTATAATTTCATAACTGTGCTGTTGAGAGAAATGTGTTTTGTGAATTTTGGTTAAACATATGAAATTGACTGGACTTTGCTGCAAGTCTAAATGAATACGACCAGACCTTAGTCCACACTGCTTGAGACAAATCCACCTGTGTCTACTTTACCTGATGAAGGGCTTGGTCACGGCTAGAACAGTTCTGATGAACCACGATGGGTGAAGAATAATGAAGGACTTCAAATTCTTCCTGAGCCTGAAAAAAAAAACAACATGTCATATGAAGTAGGTGACTACATGGGTGTGTCAACAATTATCAGCTTCACCTTCTTTTTCATAGCATCAACAAGGACCAACCTTCTGTCGATCATCTGATAGCATTTCTTCAGCCATCCAAGGCCAGGCATTCTTCTGTGGGGCGTGGCTCCATTCAGGTACACAATCATATAGTCCTCGGCCACCATCAGCTCCAGTGTGCTGATCACGTAGCTGATCTCAGACAGATACAAATACAGCCTGTCAGAATCTACCTGCTCAAATGATTAGCTACAAACATTTTCAAAACAAACATTTACTTTTTTTTTTATTTTCACCTGACGTTTGCCCTGCAGTAAAAGTCAAACAAAAAGACTGTTTGTTTTTTGAATGTGTTTTTTATGCGTAAAATACATTTAATCTACATTTTGGAAAACTGCTACCGTATTTGTCTCTTTGGCTCTGTTTTATTGGTAAAACAGCTTGGAATTAACTGACTTGTAGCCACCTGTAAGAATTAGCCTGTTGGCCCAGTTAGCTAAGATAGATGAAAGTTGACAAAAAGAAAAAAAATAGCAAAAAATAAACAAAAACTGAAGTAGCTTACATACTGTAAACATTATTGATTAATAAATATTCAATAATAAAATCTTCTGTCATCTGTCAGCGATAAATACTTTAGAAAAACTGTGGCCTGGATTGAACCTTACTCTAACAGAAGCATTTGTTATGTGCTAGTTAAAAATAAGAGTCTTTTAATGATAGTCTGGTCGTACCACAGGAGGAGCTGTTGGCCCTCAGGTATTCTTATACATTATTAAATGTGACCAATCAATGCTGGAAGCCCTGGAGCCCTAGTTTGAATTCTAATGGGACAGATAGTTTTCCATTGTGCATTGTTTAACTTTGGACATGTCAACACCACAGTTAATGCCAACGGATTAGAACTGTAGCATCAAACAGCATCATTTTACCATAAACAGCAGCCTCTAGTGGTCAAATATACATGTCAACTAACCCAAAAACCATGGCCTTAATCAGTTACATTACAAGTAGAGGTAGGACAAAACAAAATAGATTTAATAAAAAAAAACACCGTTGAAGTCATGCTTCCCTCAGAGAATTCCGCCTTTGTAGAAATCTGAAGGACCAAACCAGGACTGAAGTCCAGCTCCTTTCAAAAGTTCCAGTTATTGGGTAAGAAAGAAATCAGACGGAACTAGTTTAATAACTGTGGCAATGCTCCAATTATTATTAATAATAATTTGAACTTATAGTGTAATATTAAGACTTTCATTAAATTTCCATTGAAGCTTGTAGGTTAAAAATGTGATGATGTCATCATTGTCCATTTTTTAATGTAAAAACCCTCATCAATTTTAATGTAACACAGCTCCACACCTGACCTGTCTAAATAATCTTTAGTCATAAAATCACAGTTAATTATAGATATGACATCTGTCTTGAAACTTTTCGACCTACCCTTGCTACTGCATGTGGTAGAAATAAAACAGAAACAAATCATGTCTCTGGCCTTAAATTCTGAATTAAACCTTTTCAGTTCTCTTCATCAAGGGCTGCTTCTTAATTAGTATTCTAGTTTTAAAGTCCAAGTCTGTGGCTAAAATAAACCCTTTCTCATTTCTCCCTTTTTCAAATCAGCAGGGAACTTTCCGGCAACATCTTCAGCTTCCACCATTTTCTCAATAACCCATCTGTCCTCAGTGAGTCACTCGGCTCGGTCGGACTCTCCGTTCTTCCTAAACCAATGTCATTCTCCATTCAAAAACCAACATCCTTTTGGTTATTTCCCACTGACAGAGAGCAGCATCCTGTTTACCAACCTGGACACATGTATATCCACCTCATGCCAATTGGCAGCAGAAACTGCAGATGCTGTGGTTTACCTCTCTCCATTTCTACCCAAAAACTCTTGAATGTGCCAGCTCACTCGATATCTTTCAGAGAGCAGCCTGTGGGACAGCCACCGCACTGTCCAAGTATGAAAAGCATCTGTGCCAGCAGGACAATGAAGACATCAGCACAGAAGGCTTCTGCTAAACTATCACTTCACGTCCAATCACTTCATTTACAGAGTTCTCCGTGCACACAGGGGACTTGGCCTAATTCAGAGGAATCAGGACTGTGGAGCTGATCAGTGAAATGTGTGTGTGACATTTTTTGTGCCCATTTTTTTCAATAGTAGAGAATTACTTCAACTTGCCCACACATTACTGGGTCAGATTGACTCTTACGATTATATCACACATCATCACAAAATTCTTTCGTGTAAACACGATACTGCATTTACCCTGTCAATCAAGGAGCTCAATGTCAAACCTTAACGTGACCCAATACTGCATGTTATCTCTCCTTCCTCATATAGTATGTGCTGCACCACATTGATGTACTTATCGGCCACTCCTGAATTCTTTATACAGTTCCTCTATAAGAACCTTTAAAAAATATTTTGAATACAATGACCTACAAAATTAAACTGAAATAATAATAATAAATTGGTTACTAAGATGAAAATTAAACTGAAATAATAATAATAAATATTACATTTAATAATAACAGAATACCTTAAAATTAAATTAATATTTTAAACAGAGTTCAAGTAAAATATTTTGATATTTTGTCAACTAAAATAAATAGACCCATTACTTAAATCTGTGCTAAGAATAAGTTGCAGTTTAGTCAACAGAGTAAGACAATAAATTGGCTGTAAAAATTAACACTGATTCCTGTATTTCATCCCAATCTACTACAAATTTCAAAGAGATACTGCTGTTGGGTTGGTGTGGCGTTCTTTTTTCTTAAGCCTATACATATATCAAAGATCAAACAGTCCTGCAGCATCTGTCTTCTACACCGTCGTATCTCCACTGGTATTTCTACCCTTTAACATCTTCCTGATTCACTATCTCTCTGACTCACGGGTTATTTTTGTGAACTGAAGTTCAGTACTCACAGAAAGAGGTTCTCCATGATTTCGTGGTAGTCTTCTCTGTCACTGTCTGGCAGAAAACAGGCAGCAAACACGATGATGGCATTTACTCCGTTCCCATAGTAACCTTGTTTAAACAAAAGAAACGGAGAAAAAGTTTATATAAAAGAGTGCTTTGTTGTGGAGGTTAACAACAATTAACTTTCACTAATGTGACTGCTGCCTTTTTCTCCCATTAATTTCTTCCGTCGTTGTCTGTTTTCTTGGCGACTTCCTCTCTTATTTCCTCTCACAACTTCTTAGATTATTGTAATTTTCCTTTCTGCAGTAAATTATTCGTCAACTGACTGGGCGTTCCTCAGACAGAGGGTCTTTTATCCGAACCACAAAGCTGCCAAGGTTGACTGTTCACTGACAGACGTCTCTAGTTTGTCCATTGGTTGGTTTTACAGTCGTTCACTACATGTCAGGATCATGGGCTCTGATTTCCATCAATAACAGTATTATTACATATTGTCAGGATTTACTCACTGACCTGATCTTAACCCTGAGGTCCCTGCAAGAAAGACTAATATGGTGTGACTATGGTGAGTGGCTTCATTTTAAAGACAAGGTCACCTGAAACTCTCATTTCAGCAGCTGCAGTAGGTGAAAATATAGGAGAATTATTTTTAAACTCAAAATAGTTGTCAACGTTGCTACATATCCAACACATGAAGAACAGGCATTAAAACGTCACATCTAGGACTAGGACTCAATTTTCCTTTAAATTTCAAATTCTAAATAAAGAAGTAATTGTTACAATTGTCACTTGATACTGATTATTTAAGATATGAAGTCAGTAAGAATTGTTTTGTGTACTGTATAACGTGTACAATGTATGTGGATTTTAAATTACTACAGTAGTACCCGATTTCTAAACTCAGTTTACTGTATGTTAAAATCCACATTTGGCGATCTCAATAAACAGAAAGGAAGAATTCACCTCCATGTGAGACGACCCTCATGTAGGGTTCAATGATCTTCATGTTGATGCGGTGCTCCTGCTCCCCAATGATGACTGTCCTCCAGAGTTTCCCGTCCTGTCGCTCCTCCTCTGCACTATACGTTGGGATGGAATCATAAGGCTCAGTTGCTCCAACACTACCGGCTGTGTTTGGGTCTGACATGAGGAAAAAAAATCAAATATGTTAGAAATTGACATCACCAGGATCCAAGAAAAAAATATTTATGTTATTACTTAATATACTATATTTATTTATGAATTCAACTTCATGGAAGGTGTAAAAAGTAAAATCTGGATCTTTACTATCAATTTACCAGATTATTTCAAGTTAGATTTTTCATGGATTTGTGCTGGACAATTTTGTCAATATTTTTAGAGAAGATTTTAAATTTGAATTTGTGTGTGTTTCCAGGGTATTTCCAGTGCATTGATTTCCTCTTTGGAAGACATCCCAGAATGTTTAGATATTTAAAAAGCCTTAACTAATATACCCACCTTCCCAGTCCATTTCATGATCCGTGTAATCCAGGTAGTCGCCCTCATCTGGAGTTTCAAGGTCGTCAACGTTAATGTCCAGGTCGTCTGGTGTTTCGCCCAAGTCATCCTCACTCTGGTCCAGTGACAGGCTGATCTTAGGGGCAGAAAGTTTCTTTCTCTGTGAGGCACCTCCTTGCAGAGGAAGTGAGGTAGGAGGGACTGGGGTAAAACACTTAAATAGTTAGTAATTATTTTAAAAATGTTGTTTTTAATTCATTCTGAAAGCCAGTGGATTTATAAACCTGGTCTGCCTTCGCCCCCTTCAGAGTTCATTTTTCTCTCTGATGCCAGGTCCAACCCCAGGAGGACCTGTGGGAGATAATTACTGTTATTAAAGAGACTCTAATGGTGCAACAACAAACCTGGAGAGTAATAATTATTCATCCCTCTGCTTCATTACTTTTAGTGCTTTTTTAAACACGAGCAACAATCTCATACAAGGTTATAGTAGACGCGTACAGAATGTAAAAAGGCTTAAAATGTAACTTGATTTTGTTTTTAGTCAGTGCTGTGCATCGTGACGGCACTTTGTAGAAAATGTCGTGAGTTGCTTTCAGAGCTTCAGTGAAGCTGTTGCCCTGAAAATATATTAAGTAAGTCACGCATCTGACCTGAAGTCGAAGCTTCCACTTCCATAAATGTTGGATGGTATTTTAAGACTGAGATACTTAAGTGAAACAAATACTTTTTCCTGCAGCATGTGTAAAATACTATTGACTATGTTTATTGACATATTTTGTAGAATTGTGGGTGAGTTTGCTAATGCCGTTTGGAGGGCCTTGGCATGGAAACGATAAGTAGATGGAAGAATGATTGAATTTATAGTGCGCGTCATTCATGTTCATGCAATAAAATTAGAATGAATTACCGGTAGTGCTATTTAGGTATTTTTGCACTCACAGTTCATAAAAAAAATCATACTGTAGGCCAAGGATTTATTTTCATGCAGTATTTTGAGTACTTCAGTTTCATCACAACATAACACTACAAGTCACGCCTCAAGAAATATTGCTGGTATTTTCTGTACATTACCATATGAAAGTGTGTAAAAGGAACAGGAAAGAGAATGCTTTATACACACTGGCTCAGTGGTCTAAATATTCCTAGTTCACACACTCATTATTACAGGACTGCCATAAATAGCACATTTCTCACATCTCGTTTATACAGTCATACTGTATAGGCCAAGGATTTATTTTCATGCAGTATTTTGAGTACTTCAGTTTCATCACAACATAACACTACAAGTCACGCCTCAAGAAATATTGCTGGTATTTTCTGTACATTACCATATGAAAGTGTGTAAAAGGAACAGGAAAGAGAATGCTTTATACACACTGGCTCAGTGGTCTAAATATTCCTAGTTCACACACTCATTATTACAGGACTGCCATAAATAGCACATTTCTCACATCTCGTTTATACAGTGATGACTCACAGAAGGGTCTCTGAGGGACAGGTCTGCATTTATTTGTACCAAATCCAACTTAATGCATGTCTACAAGCTTTAAAATACCAGCTGTAGTAAAACTCATATGTAATAAATATTTAATGTTTATTGATCACTCTGAGTATATATTTGTTGTATTGTAGAAAACTTCAACTTGAATGTGGAAAATTAAAGTCAAAGTTACAGAAAATGTATTAATATGTTGCAGTGATCTGAAGGTCAGATTCTCTCCCTCTCTGACAAAATTAATATAAAACAACACCTGCAGTCTGCCTTTCATATAACCCGACTTAAATTTTAAGACCTGTCAGCCTAAATGTATTTAATGTTAGTTATATTTGTTTTAAAGAAAAAAACTCCCCCTGTATGATTTTCTTCCTATTGTTTCATAATAGACTCAAGCCGCAAAACAGTGTCCTGTCGGTTTACCATAACAACCAGAATGGCATACATTACCTCACACACAAAAGGAAACACACTTAGCTGAGCATGTGCTTGTCAATATCTGTCAATTTATCAGCATCCATTTCTGTCTAACTGCTCAACCGTGGCCATGATTACAGAAAGCCTTGATGTAAAATAGGGCAGAGCACAGAGTGGTTCGTTAAAATTTAAAGGCTTGATGTAAAATAGGGCAGATCACAGAGTGGTTCGTTAAAATTTAAAGGTAAAGCCAATGAAACCAGTTGTTTACAAGAGGGTTGATAAACAGGTTTGTGAAGAAAAGAGCTGTTTTTTGTGTGTGTTTTTCTGAAACATGTTACTAACATGTCCTTTACATACACCAAGGACCATCCATCCATCCATCCATCCATCCATTTTCATCCGCTTATCCGTTACCGGGTCGGAGGGGCAGCAGTTGCCACCCAAATCACATTGCACCGTACCAACCCCCCAAACCTTCCTGCGGATGGGGAGTCCACTGGAAGGGACCAACTGCCCTAACCGGGATTCAAACTTGCCCAGGAGGTGAACCCTGGGGTTTCACACCAACGACAGAGACATTGCCTCTGGGCCAAAGCACCACACCAAGGACCATGTTAGTGTAAATAAAATATACCAATAGTGGTTCCCAACCTTTTTTGGCTTGTGACACATTTTGCCATCAACACATTTCTGGCAACCGCAGAGATATTTCAGTAACTGTCATTTGTGCAGTCACGTGATCACAGCCATCAATCAAGTTGCACCAGCTCAGATTATTATGCTGCATTTCTTTTGAAAGAATCAATGAAGCATGAGGTTGTTTATACAGTTGTTAAAGATTTTGTGTGGTGTTTTCAATCATAGTGGTAAATATAGTAAGAATTAGTTGTATTCGCAACCCTAAGGTTGAAAAACACTGCTATATGGGTTTAATTTTGATTCTTTGATTTTTTTTTTTTTTTGGTCAAACATCTAAAGACAAATCTTCCTGTGTCTTCTGACTAATAAATAAATAAAGATTAAAGTGCATTTACGATCAACTGATTCAGGTTTCAATAGATTTTTACCTATATAAAAAAATATGTTTTATTTGATTCTTCGATTTTAGCAGAGATCAGCAGCATTGATTTTGCATATTTAAAAACCTTCATGTCCATTCACACAACCTAAAAGCTGCATAAAATCTAAACATATGTTATATGTAAATACATTATATATTTTTATCAACATAATTACAGCATTTACATCTCTTGTCTCGGTTGGCTACACCTCAGAGCGTTTACATGAGAAGGCCCTTCCCCCCCCCCCCCTCCCCCCCAACATGTACCAACATGTGTTATAATAATCACTGACGGAAAGATTTCCATAGTTATCAAAGAGGAGGTGGAACAGACAAGAAAAACAAGGAAGTGAACAGAAACACAGAGGAGGGATGAAGAAAATGAAAAAGATTTGGGGGTTAAAGGTCATCCTCTCCCAGAGTATAATCTTCCATTTGATGAGTGTGGGGACAAGGGGGAAAAAAAGGAGAGCAGTTACATCACAAACTGTTCCTCCTCTTCCTCTTTCTTGCTTTTTTTCCTATAGTGCTGATTCAAATCAATGACTGCCCGGAGCTCAGTGCAAATTATATGTGACTCGTACATTGAATTTGCATGGAGGGAGAACAGGAGGGTACCTTGATCCTCAACTCCCTGAAATAGGATATTTGTCACTATTTTGGGACACAAAAACCCACGCAGCAAAGTAGTTTCCTGTGTACTAGTACATCATGTAAAAACCCAATGATGGTACTCATTCACAGAGATTACTGTAGGTACATAAACATACACACACGTTCATACATGACCAAACAACTACATCAGCATCATGTGTAAAGACTACGGAGGATGATGCAGCTGCTGCTGTTGTTGCCTCGCGTCCCCTTCCACAGCCCAGGACCACAGTGCTGATGACAGCAGCCCCTCCTTCCCTCCCCCTCTCTATCCCTCTCTTCCTGTCTGCTGGCACTGAGAGAGAAAAAGATCATATTCCCCCAACCCCCTCTCCTCTATTCTTTCTCCTTTCTATCGTGGCAGAACAAGGATCGTGTACTCACCGCTGCTGGGGCTCAGGAATGTGTGTCCTTCTGCTTCTCAGAGCATGGATGAAATGCCGAGTTCTCTGCCGGTTTCCTGCTCCCAGCCTCTCGATGGAGATGCTCAGCTTACAAACACCTCACAGCTTCCACCATCTTGTAGTCACATGACCTGGGCCACTACCATATAAGGGCGATCACCTGCTATAACAGCTCTCTGCACAGCAGCGTCTTCCTCCAGCAGAGCCACTGAATGGGACGATACAGTGGAGACTTAAATCCTGTGTGGAGTGTGGGACTGCTATTAATCCCTGACAGTTGATTTGTGATCCTTATTATGCAACTGTATAAGGTTTTATTAGCCTGAAGAGCACAAAAGAGCAGAAAAAAATTAGACATAAGATCACTGGCAACTTCATGTTTCTATAAAAACCACACATTTCATGCTGATTAAGAAATTTCCTCTTTCACTGTCTCTTACACAACATCAACGTATTTTTTGTGGTAATATAATGTGTCTGTGCTGAACTTCTCAGGCCTTGAGCAATTAAAAGCCATCATTGCAATGCAGGTAAAACCAAAAGCACTCAGGAAGTATCTGCTTACCCATGGACACTACTGAATTCTTCTTTCTACTTACCGATCGTTCAGATCCAACAGTCAGACAAGAAGCAGGAATTAGCCTGTCAGTCCTTTGTTTGGTACAAAGGTTGTTTGCATGACAAGTCGTTGTCGGTGCAGCCACACCTGCAGTCTGGGTACAGCCCGGGGTTTCCTGAAGGCAGTAAAACAGTCGCACAAACAAACGTGTCCAAATCAACCCTGGACTCTGTCGTTTTACATACAAATCTGTGTATTTTTTTATATAATTAGTTAATTATACATTTACCAATGTATTTGGTGCCATGCCTTCTGCACTGGAGTCTATGTGCAAGAAACTAATCTGCCTTTCAAAAAAAAAAAAAAATTTTTTTAAAATCAGAACCTGACCCTACTGCACTCCCTCAGTACTTCTGAGGGGCCGTGGACCATGTGTTGCAAACATGTTAGAAAAATCTTTGAACATGGAAAAAAAAACTCTCAATACCGTATATGAACCAACAAGGATATGAGCATGTGCAAATGTGTTTGAGAAAACAAACAAGCTTCAGACATGAGAAAAACAATTATCAGTGCTCACTGTAGAAAGAGTAGGAAAAGATACGTGGAAAGACTCATTCTAGGGGCTCAGAACCTTTTTGCGAAACAGAGTGATGCATCTGAACACCATATTCAAAAACGGTTGTATTATTTTTATCCTTCTTTGTATAAATATATTTTTAAAGGAAAAAAATGTGTGCTCAGCAATGCTAGGTATGAAGATGAACAGAGATTAACAACAAAATATTTCCCTCAGACACGGGTCAGATAATAAAGACATAAATGCATTAATTTGTAGACAAATACATTTCTTTTTAATGTATGCAATTAGGTAAATTGGCAAGAAACATACTACTTTACAGGGTACGTGGGTTCTTATTGTTGCTACACAAATAACATAGTTAGTCAAATAAAATCTAAGGTACAACTAATGAGACTATTCCTTACCTACTCGTGCCAAAGCTGTAAGACGAGAGAGTTTGAATTCTTGTAAGAAAAGACTCGGTCCAACCTGTTTACCAGTTTGTCAAAGATAAGTGTGAGAAAGGGCTTTAATATGCAACGGTAAACACAAACAATAACTCCCATCAAAAAGTTGCTCTGCTGCAGCGACTATATCGACAACTTTCACAACAAACAACAGAAAACTACGTGTTTCTCGTTAAAACGTTTACTTAAGTTAAAAAGAAATGCAATGTAACTTACACGAGACCATACTTTTCAATGTAACGTCTAAAAAGCGTATCCTTGACGGCTTTAAAAACTACTTTGATGTTCTCGGTGTCCGTGGCACAGGTGTAGTGCGTGTACATGGGCTGGTCGTGACCAGCGTGTTGCTCCACGTACATTTTCAGGATAAATTTCTTCGCAGATTTAGCATCACATCGAGGTCCTGTGGGGACAAAAGAATCTGGATCTGACTGGAAAGTACGACCACTAAGCAGTATTAGCTTAAAATTAGCCACATTGTTGTTTTGTTTAGTTTTTGTTATGGTATAAGCTATGTCTGTATTTGGCCAAGCTACAGCTACTGAGATTTAAAAAAAAAACTCCAAACAACAAACTAGATTATTGCCGAATTGATAAAAAAAAAAATAAATTACGAGTTTCGACAACAGACTTTCCCTGCTCAAAATCCTTGGTTCCGCTTTCGTGTTTTACACGGACGCTAATTGTGACGCGCGTGGCAGGGTTGCCACAAACAACATGGAACGGAACATGTCTATAATGTGAGAACACTTAATAAAAAAGGTGTGTGTGTGTGTGTGTGTGTGTGTGTGTATATATATATATATATATATATATATATCTTTCTGGTTATTTTTTCTGCTGTTCTAAAAAAGGAAACTAACTAACTTCTCATTTTTTTACTTGCCCATTCAAATATTGGGAGGATTAATTGATTACAAAATAATCAATAGCTACGGTTATGCACTGTTATGGTATTTTGACAGTTCTTTGTGTACTTGAAGCAGCATAACTATGGTATTTATTGTTCATAGACAAAAGCTAAGTTGAAAGTGAGTTCATGTTTTACCATTGTAGTTGGGGAAGTAGGTTGCCAGATCAGACTGTGTGATCTTCTCCTCTAGCAGGTCTATTTTGTTGAGGAACAGAATGGTGGAGGTCTCATCAAACCAATGGTAGGAAAGAATGGTTTTGAACAAAGCAAGGCTTTCTCTCAGTCGATTCTAAAGACAAGAGAGGAATATCACCTCAGCGTATTGACACCAAACAATAGTCAAAAACTTTCAGCAATGTTTTGAAATACACAGCTCTATCAACAAACTTACTACATTGGCATTCTCATAAAGAACTTGGTCATATTCACTGATGGCTGCCAGGAAAATTATGGAAGTGATATTTTCAAAACAATGGATCCATTTCTTCCTCTCTGTGCGCTGACCCCCTACATCCACCATCCTGGACAGACACAGACACTAGTTTAATATATATTATTCAAATATGCATTCTGACAATTTATTGGAACTTTCCTTATAATCCATCATACATTTGTCTTTGGCAAGAAAAAAGGATAATACTTCACCTTAAGGTACATTTGTCAATAACAAAAGGGTACTCAGTTATCCCTGTGGTCGGGACTCTAACCCTTAGGATGTCCTGCAGGGTTGGAACGTAAGAGGAAGATGCAATTCTGTCCAAGTCATTCAGGAAACTGAAAAATGTATAAGAATTAAAATGCCTTTAATATTCAGACTCATTAGGAACAACCATTGGTCAGAAAACTGCTCTAACCTTTTGTTTAGAAATATGTTGCTATAAGAACAGACTGTCAGTAGCTTAAATACAGTGTTACAATTTTGGGTTTATTTGATTTGAAAAAACAAAAAATCGCTTACTATTTGGCAGAGTCTGATAGCTGGAATTCTCTCCTGCGACCATAACACCTTTGGACACCGTGGTCATTCCACACCTCCCTTATGGCATCTACCTGCCACGGCAGCAGAGTGGACACAATTGTTGTTTCCACTTTACTCAACTTCTCTGCCTGGATCTGGATCACACACACAATCAAAAATACAATTCATTTAAAAAAATGTTTCTTTGTTTTTGTTTTGTGTTCTTTTGTTTTAATTCATTTTACACACTAATGGTATCTTTTAAAATTCTGCTGAGAATCTCTCCCGTTTAAAAAAAAAAAAAAAATCTCACATGATTTTTTTCATCAACATAGTCAAGGTGTAGAGTCTCCATGGCTTGGATCAGTGCCTGGATGGCTGTGAGTATGTTATGGAACACAAGCCGAGCAAAATTCATTTTTTCAGCTTCACTGTATTTGCTGCCATTGATGATCCTCATCTGTTTGATGAAAGTGCTCTTCCCGCTCTCACCAGTCCCTGTATAAACACCAGAGAAACAAGACCAAAGGCAAATCAACAATTATTTTCAGTTTGTCCTTTTTTCATATCCAACAACACGTTCTCCAAATTGTTTTTTTTTTTTTTTTTTTTCAGATCTTACAATTCCTTGTTACTATAAAAGTGTTTGTTGGGGCAATGTCATCTGCTCAATTAATGTAATAATGTAAATCTGCCATACATTCATCAATGTCAACCTCGGAACTGAAACACAAAAGAGTGTAGGCAGTGCAGGCGGCACATGGAGAAGGAAGAGGTCATGAAAAGTGCAACATCCATTGTATGAAACTATTAGGATATAGTGACTAATTATCAGCAAATAAAAAAAAAACAGTAAATTGTTAGGCAAAAGATTCCAGAGAGCAATAAGGTTAAAAAGACTAAAAAAAGGGTATGTAAAAAAGTTCAGTAATCCAATTAGATATGAATCAAGACATGGGTTGTCAAGTTCGTGGGTCATCAGGAGTTCAACAACTATAAAAAAAAGGAACTCTATGACTTAAAAAAAAGCCTGGCATGCCATTGTTACATTTTGTATTTATAGGATTTAACCTGCTGAAACCTCAGTCTTTGTAACAACAACAATCACAAACTAGAGTGTCACACGCTGTCACTGAAAATACTTTAATGTTGGTTTAACAACTAAATGTTCTAGCAGATACACTTGACAGTATAAGAAAATCCATGGTTACACTGCAGGGAAATGAAATTACGTATTAAACATAAAATAACCTTTATATCTGTATTCTACAAAACAATGAAGCATTTTTGGAGCATTTGAATATGAATAGTAAAAAACAATCTCAGACAGATGCAGGTCTTCATTTGCTTATTAGGCTACAGGAAGCACTGGTAGTAGAGACATGGAGCACTGCTGAAAGATGATGAGTTCAGGCAGAAATAGTATTAAGTTAGTTGGATTAGCATAAGGTTAGCTCAGACGTTAGCAAGTAAAATGTTATATATATATATATATATATATATATATATACACCTTCCAATCTGTTTAATTTGTACAGTGGCTAACAAACAAACAAACCCCAGTGCTTTGTATTTAGTGGCAGTTAACAAATACAGTGAACCAGATGGTGAGCAATATGCTCGCTCAATATAATAATGTTAGCATGGGCACTCTGAGCATATTAGCATCCTTATGTTGCTGCTGTGCAAATCAATTCTCAGCACTGTCCTACTGAGAGGATATCACACTTAGGATATCACAAACTATTTGATTGTTTTATTATAGTCAGGCAGGCATAATTATTTTAACTGTGTAAATAAATAAAGTATGTATGAAAATGTATTTAAAAAAGTCAAGAACTGTATTAGCAATACAACAATAAACTGTACACATCAGCGACATCTACATTTATATTCTTTCTTCAAACAGCCCATAGCAATTAAATACACAAAAGTTTTTCAAACATCAACCAATTGGAACGGTTTTTATCAGGAAAAGCACAGATGGCTCCGTTCAGTTCCAGCAGCTACCTTGAAACTCAGGAAGCCAAATGGAACTCAGCCATCGTTTATCTAATTGTTTAAACTGTGACCTGTCAAAATAACAGCTTTGCGATCACTCTCATATTCTTTTCTACGTTTATTTTATTTATTTATTTTAAATGAAACTTTGGAATTATACCTGGTTTCTGAAGTAGCTCTATGGAGTAACTCTCTAATTAACACAACTACTTTCAGATCATTGTGAAATAATTTGTTAGTGTCAGTACCTTGAACTTTCCAAGACTGTTGATATACCATTAGAATGTCTATAAGAATGTGAACATAAAGGGAGAAGCATCAAAATTACACATTCAGTTTGGGGTTTCGGTTTCACTTAATCCCTGCTGGTCAGGGGTGGTACTACACTCGAAACTGTATTTTTAAGTGCCTTTAAAATCAGGATGTCAGATTTTATGGGCAGTCTATAATGACTCACAGGTATCTTTCACTGTGCTTTATCTTCTATTTTGTGCTAAACTGGGTTGTAATTCACACATATCCTTTACTGGTGCTTTTAAAAAAAATTAGGTGTAAACAGACTTTTCACAAATTTGTCAGAAAAGTAAGTTGCTCAAAAAATGTGACTAATAGTAAACGTTGATCTGATCAAATATGTATCTAATGAACATATTTGAAGAGTGAGCTAACTGTGACTCCTGCAGCTTGTAGAAATGAATGAGACTTAAACTTTTCAGGTGTTGACACTCACCCAGAAGCAGCAGCTTCAGCTCCATGTGCGAAGATTTTTTATCACGGGCTAGTTGTCTTTCTATTTCATTGTGCATCCTGAGTCTCTCTTCGTCCTCAGGGGACAGACAGCAGTCCATGGCTGTTCAAGTTCCCTGGATGCTTTGTGCCCCCTTGTCTACTTGAGGTTACACAGCTCTCGAGGTGAGGTGAGATGAGGGGGGGGGGAGTCAGAGAAATAGGTAATCGTTCTCCTTAGTGCAGTCAGGGAAACCTCTGTCCGGGAACACAGAGACGCTGCAAATTCTTCCTTATAGAAGAACGGGTTCAGGTGCATTTCTGCTGTGCACACTCACTAACAGGAGGCGGTGCTGTGTGTGTGTGTGTTTGTGTGTGTGTGTATACCTGTTTTGCTACTTATTTCTCACATTGTTAATGAATTGTCTTATACTAGGCAACCTACACTTAAAGCATCCTCTCAGGGGGGGATGCTTTGGGGCAGTGGTGGCTTAGTGGTTCAGGAAGTGGACTTGGGTCTGGAAGGTTGAAGGTTCAAGTCCACCAGCTGAGTTGCCCACTGTTCACCTTGGTGATGGGTTGAAAGCAGAGGTCACATTTGGTTGTGTGCTGTGTCACAATCAAGCCCCGGTTTAGAGCAGTGATTATCAACTGGTGGCCAAACGGTCCAATCTGACCCATGACTGGATTCTAAAATAAACAACAAAGAATGTTGTTATATAAAGATGTGAGTTGTATTTAGTATTATTTAAGTGACCAGCCCCCAAGATGTCTGTCCAGAAAAATCCTGGCCTCACTCATAGTTTTGTCCATGTGGAATCTTACGACTACTGCGAAGAAAGCTTGGTTCTAAGTTAGCTAACCAGTGAAGACTATGTGCCCAGCAGCCTCTCTCTCCCTTTAATCTTCAAAGCACATCACCCCCCCACCACCTTGTACTGGTATCACATTACATCCAGGGAATCTCCTCCAGAATAAATGTTCTTTGCCACACTTTATAACCCCTGTGCACAAAAGTGAAAATATGGAGCCCTAACTAAAGTGCTGCTGCAGGCTGCAGTCAGACAGATGAATCACACAGGAGGATTTTAAGACTGACACTTGGAGCCAGACGCCAGAGCTGACTGAGCGGCCGAGAAGACAAACACTTGAACGGCCAGCCAAGAGTGTAAGGAGCAGACAAACAATTTATTTATCAGGATAAAAAAAAAATAGACTATTAAAACATCTCAGCAACACACTGTGCAAGTTAGACATTTTAAATATATTTTTTCCTTTTTTACATTTTTTTTATTATACACTTTTACTAAAGATCCCTCCAACAGTGCATGGATTAGAATTCAGAGTGCTTTGGTCAAATACCTAACACAATGCTTCTCTTTTCTGCAGAGATCATTTTAACACACTGATAAAAACAGGTTGCATACATAAAAAAATGTTCAATCTGCTTAAACAGAAGCAGTAGAACAAGTACTTAAGCCCTTTTATTAAAGACAACACATGAAGTCCCTGAACTGAATACTTAAGCTGAAGAACAACACTTTAGAAAAGAAAGAGCAATTTCTCTTTGAAATGTATGAAATTATAAAAAAGGAAAAATATGTTTGCTATCCCTTGAATCAAGTTTGAAAAAACCACACACACACACACGGTAATTATCAGCTGATGCCACAAAACTCCTGCTACAATTCACATCTCAAACAGAGCTGATGCCACAAAGCTCCTGCTACAATTCACATCTCAAACAGGATGCACAACAACTATTAGTGTTTTTCCCCATCAAGTCACAACGTAGACTGAACACATTAGGTATTTTACACTGTTTTGTACATTAGTTGATGTGACCGTCAACCGCAGCAGTCGATGGACGTCCACACTTCCCTGAAACACTGACCAAGTACTGAACTTGTCAACAAGAGTTGAAACCAAAAAAGTTCCAAGATGGATGTTGATGATTTCTTAGTTGAAACACGTTAACCCTAGGGCTGCTAAAGTTCACGGGATTTTAACGAGCTAAGGAAAATAATGCCACTATATTTTTTGTGTGAATAAGTCACATTCCCATCCATCCATCAAATTTTTCCATATTAATAATTCCATCATTTGGATTAGCCACAAAAATGAAAAACTCATATTCCTGTTCTTCTTGATATTGATTAATCACGATTAATTGAGATTGATTACAATCACAATTAATCATGACTTCCTCACAGCTACCTTGTGATTGATCAAATTACATATTTTTAATGCTTTGATATTCCTAATTATTTTAATAACTCTCACCAAGAGAACAAACAGGAAATGACTAGAACTGCTGTCCATCTGCTTCATGCCAAAACCGAGAGAAAATTGTATTTAGTGGCAGTTATGGAAAGGAACTGGTTTTCAATCCTTAGATGAGGCAAAGACGCCAGTTGTGACCTATTATTAAAGACATCTCCCATAATTCCTACTAAGAAGAAATTCTCTGGTGAAAACACCATCAGAAAGGACTTTAATAGAGGTTACGTGGAGAGATAGCGTTGTTATTCTTATAAAGACTTTTTGTGACCCCTCTGAATCCTTCTACATACATTTGTTTTCCACAAATTTAGGCGCTGCACCTCAGCTTAGCTGCTCACTCAGCAGCCACTTGAAATGTCAGGACACGTGTCATTATGGTGAAAGTCATCTTCCTCCAAAGAGCTGAACAGGAAATTGTAAAGTACATCAGTATTACAGTCTGGGATTACAGTGATCAGTAGTACAGTGAGTCACAGCAGAGTCCCCCTCACTGCAAGCTGCACTGTACCAAAGGCCGGCAACTTGAACGTTTTTTGTTTGTTTTTTTTTGCTTTAAAGCAAGTTGTAATCTTTAAGATTTTCGTGCAAGATGTAATCCTTCACTGCTCGAAAGACAAAGCGAATGTTGTCTGTGTCTGTGGCGCAGGTGAAGTGGGAGTATATGATCTTTTTCAGTATTGGATTGAGACTCACAAACATGTCTAAGATGAATTTTCTCCCCGCCTTGTAATCCCACTTAGGACCTGTTGTGGAAATAGACACAGAACAAACACATGAATTCTAATTTCAGCTGTTGTATCACAGCTAACAAATAAAAACATAAAAGCAACACTTTTATGTAAGACTAAGAACAAAAAACTAAGATGTCCCTCTTACCATTATATTTGGGGAAGTAGTCGACCAGATGTGAATACATGATTTTCTCCTTCAGTAAATCCAACTTGTTGAGAAACAAGATGATGGAGGTCTTTTTGAACCACTTGTAGGTTATGATTGTCTGGAACAAGGCCATGCTCTCCTCCATCCGGTTCTTAGAAACACAAATGGCACAGAATTCTCAGTGTGAGCATTAATATGAAAATCAGACGCAAGTGTGACCCTGAGCAAATCCAGGCAGCGTTGCATTAGAGCAGAACAGAGCAACTAAAGAGCTCCCCCTGCAGTTAAACTACATGTAGTGTCAAAGAAAAAGGATTTGTGAGGAGAGAGGGGGGAGAGAGGGAAAACTCCCAGCATGCTCCCTCCTTAAAATAAAACAGCAGATTAACTTGTAAGAGTCAAACCAGCCTTGATGTTTACTTATTATGTCTTATTTAACTAAAGGGATGTGAAAATTGAAGACATTATTTTCAATTTAGTAAATTAATTTATTTTCAGCTTGTGACTTTTTTACGTTATTTTTATTTATTGCTACTTGGTCCCTTTTGACATATCTGTCACTTTGTTATTCTGCCATTTTGAACTTTAGTATTATTAGGTTTTGTTTTAATTTTTTAAAATTTATTATGGGTGTATTTTTGTCAAATTAAATTTATTATGGATCTATTTTTGTCAAAGTTCTTCCTATGGACGCCTCTTTAGTATTATTAAGTTTTGTTTTAATTTTTTTTAATTTATTATGGGTGTATTTTTGTCAAAGTTCTTCCTATGGACTTTTGTCCTTCCAAGATTGTGTATTTTATTTTGTTGTCCTATCTTTTTTTTTACTTTTGCATTTGTAACATGTTTCTGCCATCTCTCATTCATTTTGTCCTTTCTCCCTTTTGGTCATTTTGTAATTTTACATTTCACTTTGTTCACATTGTCTGTTTACCTCCTTGTCCGACTCGATGAGCACCTGATCATACTCGCTGAGTGCCACCAGGAATATGATAGACGTGACTTTCTCAAAACAGTGAATCCACTTCCTCCTCTCAGAACGCTGGCCTCCCACATCTACCATCCTGCAAACAAAGGTGGTTCCCATTGCTACATAATTACTTAGAGACAGATTTGTGACAGACAGACAGACAGACCTCTTTTACAACAGTATTATCACTATTGTACACAGATACAATGATCCTGATTTGACAAAGGTAATAAGTATTATGCTGTGCAAAGTAGTAGTAGTCCTTCTCTTATTTAATTTTAAATAACTACCAGGTAACAGGCACCAGATAATATGATTAGGGATGAACTATCTGATTGGATTAATCCTTGGCCGTTCATGTGCTAATTTCTGTCATTCCGGTAATGAAATTCAAGCCAATAATTTGACCGATAAACACAGCAAGGTTAGCAAATTAGCCGTCCTGCTTGTGCTCCTGAAGCTGCATAAGAGTGATTAACATTTGTGCTAACACCACACAAATTTGACAGTCTGTTTTTAGCATGCAGTTAGACGCTTACTCTGGTGAATTTTGTGAAACACAGATGTTTTTAGCATGCAGTTAGACGATTACTCTGGTGAATTTTGTGAAACACAGCACACAATAATACATTTTATGAAAGTTTTCCAGAACAAAGAACTGAAATGAAGAACAGGAAGCAGCTGAAGCCACAGCACTAAAGATAAAAACAGGAAACTGACTGTTTTTTGTTTTTTTTTTGTAGGCATTTAAAAATAAAATAAAGGTTATTAATCCAAACTGCTTTAACATTTGAGGTTGGTTTTAAATTTGTTCAAATTTAAAGAATTGAAAAATCTGATTACATGAAACATAATGCAGCTCAACACATGACACAAAGATATTGATAAAACCTGACAACACATCTGAAACTGTTTAAGTTTTTTAAACTCGACAGCAGTACTCACCTGAAGACTGCATGTTGCATGTCAAATGTGTACTCTATAATACCAGTTGTGGGCACCCTGACCCTCAGGATGTCCTGCTGAGTTGGCAGATAAGCAGCATCAGCGATTCGGTCAAAGTCATTTAGATAGCTGGTGGCACAACAGTGACGGACACATAACAAAAGCAACAGAAAGACAATGAAAACACTTTGTTTTCAAGTGTTGCTGTCATGTGTCTGTGCTTCATCTCTTGTTGCTTCATAATCAGCAACCATAAATGGAATGACTACTGAACTGAAGCTGTACTCAGAGCGATAAACAGATGACAGGCTGTGAATACCATTTTGGAATGTTTTTGGAATGTTTATGAAGTTATTAATGTCTGTTGAGACTCACTATTTGGTTGAGTCCGAGAGCTGGTATTCCCTTTTCCGATTATAACATTCCTGAATTCCCGAGTCACTCCACAAACTCTTGATGGCGTCCACGATTGGGGTTGTAAATGTTGTCACTTTGTCCACATCCACTGCGCTGATAACAGAAACATTTTCCTGAAGGGAAACAAAAGGGTGTCACCGTAATCTGACAAAGAAAGAGAATCAGGGTTTTCTGTACTTGAACACCTGACAGTGTCCTAAATATTAATTCCAAGGAATTTCACAAAATTCCACAAAAAAACAAAGTAAAGGCAGCTCAAAATAATTTTACATATATTTCGTTTTTATAACAGTTACAATATTTAAAATGTCAATTTGAGTTTTGCCTAAAAAATAATACAATCTAATTATATTTTCAAGACTTATGGCACAGACCCAAAATAAAACTTAAATTAAATTGGTTCTGAAACTTACACCATATACCAACTCCAACAGAAAACATTCAACACACACTTTACTAGCAAAAAAATACACAAATATAACTCAGCTAATACTAAGTTAAGTTATGAATGCTGGGTAGAAAAGAGTTATCCTAGTACGGATCAGACCCTGACATTTTGTTTATTAGTAAAATGAAGCTCAATAATTGTATTTCACAAAGACGATTTAATCAAACATAATTAGCCTTAGCGGTTTTAGTAAAAACTTAGCTTTCTAAAACTTTATTTGACATTAAATTACACCACCCCTGAGTGACGTGATCTAGTTACTTCAAAATTGTTTCAAAAACTGTTAACCCGATTCTCAGAGGTTTCAGTATAACAAATCTTAAAGCCTTACGTGTGTGTGTGTGTGTGTCATCATCTTTTTCTGCTACATTTTCTCTATTTCACCCTTGTTTCCTGTTTTGTTTGATTCCTGACTAATGTTTCTCTGATACGATTCAGGAGTCACAGCAAAAAAAACAGCACATGTTGTGAGAACATTTTAATGGTTCTCTTCAGCCGAACTATCATCAGCATTACGGGAAGTGCATTACAAATCCGTCTGTAAAGTGTACAGTGCTGTCAGACCGTCTATACAAGTTTTTTGTTGATAAAAAGCTGTGTTTGACAAACAAAGATCCTGGAGTCACTCTGTGGGGAATTCCTGTGTTGTGAGACAGGTGGGTTGCACCAATGCATTACATCACCACCTCCAACAAAGAATGATGGGAAAATGTTTTTGTTATTTATTAACCTGGTCAATGGGTGTACACGCAGAAATACTGGAGGCGTGTACTCTGCAAAAAAATAAAAAATAAATCTAATCTGCCTTTATTTAAACACCATGATAGAAATGAGATGTTTCCGGTGTCTAAAGGTTAATACTGTTTAGGGCTGGGCGACATCGACTCTAACTATTTTAATTGTTTTTAGCTGACCGGCGATACCTGACAAATATTGGTATTTTCCTGTGATGTAATAGGGGATTGCCATAAAGCATTATATGATCTTGGATTCTTTTTTACAGAGACAAACTCTCAGTTATAAGATAGAGCCAAATGTCACACAGCCACATTTATGAACAGACGTCACTCTGCATAATATTAGTGTATAAAACAAATTAAATAAAAACTGCTTAATATATGAAATAAAAAAGCTCTTTGAATAAAATAAAATAAAAATATACAGACGCTCTACTTCTGTTTCATTGCCTTAATCGTCAAGATTTTCAAATATCCAATGGTACCTGAACGCCCCTCGTTGGAATCCTTATACAATGTTATGCAAATGTTATACAAGTCATTCCAACATTGTTTATATAGTTATAAACATATTAGACTTCTGTCTCTCTTTGTATCGACAATAGATATATTGTCGATACAAAGAGAGACAGAAATGGGCAGAGGCCAAGTGCCCACTACAGCGCCATCACAAATGAGACAACACTCATCACCCACTACAGTGCCATCACAAATGAGACAACACTCATCACTGGTGTGACCAGATAAACTATGTGTAATGTTTAGTTGTGCTACGTGATAAATCAGATAACTGTATTCTAATTGCCCCACAGAATACCATAGAGGCAGAGTTACTTTCAACCACCAATAAACACTTGTTAGTACTGCATTCAATTGTTAAATACACTCTGTGGCTGTACTTCCAAATGTCTTCATTTACTCAGTTGACAAAAAAAAGTGTAGTCAACATTGCTGACTCAGACCCAGCTGACGCTGCCAAAGGTCTATAACACCCACACAGCCCACCTTCCCTCCTGTGCAGTCAATGGACACGGCATTACTGGACTCTTATCATCCTGGACCACAGTCTCACCTAAAACCTTAACAAGTGTGAGTCTGCGGATGTGGTGATTAATAGGTTTCTGTTGTTGACAAGACAAGAACAGAAGACTCCACAGTGATGAATGAGGAATTCTCTCTCTCTCTCTGCTCAGGAGAACCTGTCTCAGCATGCCTGCTTTGTTAAATCGTGTGTACTTTCCAACAGTCAGTCTGCTCTGTCTCTTGGCAAAATCTGACAGTAGGATTGCAAATCCAAACAGAGTTACCAGAATACCCCCCCACCCCTCCCCCCTCCAATATACAGTAATGCAGAGTAAACTTTGCCTGGGCTTCTGTCGAGGAATGTTTTCCTGTCTATGAGGCAGAACAACAGGGTGAGCCTTACCTGGTTGTGTTCATATTTGTATGGGATCTTCAACATGGCCATGGCCTGAATCATGGTCTGCATGGCTGTGAGGATGTTCTGGTAGACCAGCCTGGTGAAGCCTCTCCTGTCCTCGTCAGAGTATCCACGGCCATGGATGATCCTCATCTGCTTGATAAAAGTACTTTTTCCACTCTCACCAGTTCCTGAAAGAATCATCAGACAACACAGTGTTAGGGTATGGTATGTTTGGTTAATGTGGTAATGAAAATTGGCAAATATGCAATTTAACAAATTTGTCTTTGAATTTACAAATTAAAATTAATTTGTATTTTAATCATATAAAAATATTAATGAAATTACTGAATTTCTCCAGTGTGGGATGAATAAAGTCTTATATTGTCTCTTATATTTAAGTTTTCAAAAACTAATACTGTGTGAAAACTGAATCAAATTGGCAGAAATGTGAACCTAATCATCAGGGAAGCTGCTTTTTTCAAGCGCTTAAGAAAATTTCTGAATCGCGTTCCTTTCTGTTGAGTCACTACATAAAAGATAATAACTACAACTCTAGCTTAATAAGTTCTCACAGAACCACCAATATAGGCCATAGAATGCTCCCACAGGTCAACACTAGGTCAACTGTCCTTTCTTTCTTATGGTACTAATGGGAGTGGGTTGATGGACTGTCCGTTGTCTCTGATGTCTTAAATAAAAGGTATCGTAAGCCTACGTAGGGTTAATACGCAGTCCTCATTTCACAAATGACCGTGTGTACGTTCATCTGTACAAGGAGAAGTTGCAGAATTTTCTAGACCACGTCATTACTTCCACTCCCAGCAACACAGAGACGTGAGAAAAAACACACTTTTAACATTTACCATAATTTAGGGTTGTTTTTTTTTTGAGAAGTGTTTATACTATTTAAAGACCTCCCGCTTATTAAAACTGAAAGCATTATCAGGGTTTAGTTGTTTACTTTTCAATATGCAGTTAGTGAGGTGTCAGCACTTTGAACAAGGACTGCTAGACTTGAATGGGCAGTTATACACTCCTCATGACTAAGAAGAAAAAGAGTTGCCACAACCAAGCTGACGGCTTCACATTAACTTACAGCACCGCTGCTGATGCAGCCGTAACACGGCAGCAGTGGCAAAAATGTGGCTCTATTAGATGATGTCCCACGGAATGAGTTGAACATTTTCCAACGTTTGACAATTATTATAATTACAATTTTTAATTATATAAATAGGAAGTAATTTCTTGCACGAAAACTGCCAAGAATTTTGTCACCCAGGTATATTTGCAGTGCATTATTATTATTATTATTGTTGTGAAACATAATTTTGTAAAAACTGCCAAGAATTTTGTCGCCCAGGTATATTTGTAGTGCATTATTATTATTATTATTGTTGTTGTTGTACGTTATCAATGTGTTAAACTGTTACATTGTGACAGGACATTTTTTCTGTCTTATTACTGATTAGGTAAAGTTTTTTAACAGCATGTATTTTTTAAAAATATTATTTGAGTGACATGTTTTTGTAAAACAGTGCCTGGATATTAAATAATAATATAGTGTAGAAAATTCACAGTTTCAAACTTGTGTTTGAGGAAAAAGAAGAAATATTATCATAAAGTTAAAATACAACTAAATAAAGTAACATCTTAATGAAAATGAAGTTTTGAGGAAGGGCCATTTTTAAGGGTCAGACTGGTTTAAATTTCATTTTTTGGAACACTGAATTGTTTTTATTTTTTGTAAACATACGCCTGCTACTGATATGGCAGTGCCGTTCTTATCAAAAACTTACAGTTCAACATTTTACCTTTCAAATTAATGATTCTGTTTCTGTCCTCGGAGAAATTGATTGGTTGAAACAAAAGTCATACGTAATTTCTGTAGCAATTTTTACAACAAAGTCAACATAGACCACTTGTCGTACGACTTTAAATAGGGGAGGTCAGATCAGTAACCGTTTTCCACACCTAAACATAGGTTAAAAGTCCAATCGGTTAGTCGATTAAACGCGAGTGTGATCTACAAGTTATATAAGTTAATTCAACATGAGATTATTGTTCGTTTGCTTGTTTGTTGGTGTTTTACGACTTCCGTGATTTCGTTTTAAACGAAAGTGGAGTCAAGCAAAGTTACCGAGCAGCAGGAGCTTGAATTCCCGCAGGGAGTCCTTCTTATCCCGGCGGAGGTGCCTCTCGATCTCGTCGTTGATCCTTCGAGCCTCTTTGGCCTCCGGGCTGAGGCAGCAGGCTCCCAGTGAGCTCAGGATCATTCCCCCTGCTGAGGAAGAACACAAACTCACTTCACACGGTGTTGGTTACACGGGGGGGAAAAGCCCACAGCATGTTCGAGTCAATGTTTTTGGTTTACGCCAACTGACTAACTGTGACTGTGTACGTCGGTGTCTCTGTGTGTGTGTGTGTGTGCTTCCAACATCTCCTCCCCCCTTCACCAGAAAGCAGAAATCTGAGTTGAGTTTGAGGAAGTAAAGTTGTTTTCCTTTCAGCTGTGTGCCACCGTGACGCTTTCATTGCTGCGGGAAAAGATTAAACTTTTTTGCAACAGCTCCAAGAAGTAGTAGAAGTGTGTTTACCCCTGCTGGCTGAGCTCCGGGCGTGGTGGTGGTGGTGGTGGTTCTGCTGCTGCTGCTGCTGCTGGTGGTGGTGGTGGTTGGTGCTGGTGTTTGGATGAAGATGGTGGAGATTTTACATGGTGTTGCTGCAGTTTTGACACGACCTTGGTCAAACCTTTCCAAATGAATCAGACCGATGTTTATGCCTCAGTTTGGCCTCCTCCCCTCCTCTCTCCTCTCTAGCTCGGTCCAATCCTGCCGTGTGTCCTCCTCTCCTGCCTCCAGTCTCTGGGTGAAAAACCCAGTGAACCATGTGACTGAGGGCTGGGCTCTGATGGGAAACCGTGTGGGCTTTCACTATATTACATTATGGGAACTAATATCCGGTGTTTGACCGGTGAACTGCGGATGTATGTGACAGTTAGAGCAACAGGTTCGCTCACTCACTCACTCACTCACCAATATCCCCTGAAAATCACATTACAGTAAGCACGTACAACAACAGGTTGACAGTTTAGGACAAAGTCCGTTCTCCCTTAAGAATATTCATGAACAGGAAAAGAAATTCTCGAATTATTAGTCACATTAAGATTATGATTTTTCGAGGACATTTTTTTGTTTTATGCCGTAAACTTTAGAATTAAAGACCACAAGCAACCAGTTATATCCGAAGCTAAAATACCGTCATAAATTAATGCGATTGGGTTACAAGTTTATCGAAAACGTTTGTAACTTTTGAAGGGGAACAGTTAAATTTTTACGAGAAAAAAAAAACTCAATTAGGAAAAAAGTCGCAAGTGAATGAGAATAAAATGACAATAAATAAATTTAAATTCACGGGGATACTACAGTAGCTCCAGAAGAATATAGGTGAAAGACAACGGTTAAGTTGTAAATTTACGAAGATAAAGCTGTTCCTTTCGGGGAATATATTTGTACATAAATGAGAATAAAGTGATAATATTAAAAGAGAAAAAAAACTAAATCTTAGTATCACAGTCACTTTCGGAAATGGGAAATATAAAGTTAGTGGGGAAAAGTTGTACGTAAACAAGACCTGTACGCCAAAAATATTTACTGATAAAATCGTAATATAACCACACACACAAAAAAATGTTGAAGAATCAGAAATTAATGGGAATTACGGAGGACAAAATGTTTATGCACAAGTGATTTCACAGATAAAGGTAGAACACTTGTTCAAACTTGAATAAACTGGATGTATTTACAGATACAGCAGACACATAGACAGCTACTGTGTAAGATGGCTGCCACTCTTTGACTCAGAATCACAAGCTCCTTGTGTTAAATTGTATCCACTGCTCACAAACAAACAAACAAACAAAAAACTTTGTGTTAAATTGCATCCACTGCTCATAAACAAACAAACAAAAAACAAGTCAAATAAAGAGACCACCTAGAAAGGTAAAAGATATACCTGATGAGAAAGAAAGAAAATACAATCAAACAGTATACTGTAGTATGTCCATACATTTACCTGTAAGAAGTACCTTTGCAAAAACATATACAAAATTTCTTTCTCAAAACTCAAAATTGAACAATTTTAAAAAGATGCTTAATCTAGCTGTAGAATAAATTCATAAAGCCAGAACAGAGGCATTTAGAAAAGGGGAAACATTATAGGACCAAAAACTTTGTACACTTCCACTACAGGTACAAGTACTTAAGAACACTGCAACTTTGGGGACCAGTATGTACTTTTCCACTACAGGGACCAGTACCCATGAACTATTCCACCAGAGAACAACTTAAGGATTTGTAGCTATAGAGACTCACTACTCACTATAGTGACCAGTATAGTACTAGTTCCTAGAGTAAAAACACTTTTACTCTAGGAACTAGTACAGGACTTGTATTTAAAAACATTTTCATCACGGGGACCTGTACAGGACCAGTACCATGGCAAGATAAAGAGTACTTGTAACTTAAAAATAATCCTTAATCCTTAATCCTTTCAGCTGACTTTACCCAGTTTGGCTATGAGATGTTTGTCCTATCAGGATCAGGACTGTTTTTCAGCACACTGATGTACTGATTTGTACAATCCTAATAAAACTTTTACTTTTCTAGAAATGCAAACCACATCTGGAAGGTATTTTTCCTTTTCTTTTTAATTTATATAACTAAAATCTAGTTCCTCAGCAGTGGAAATGCTTCTCAAAAAAAGATTGCGCTGTCATCAGGTTTCAGTTCTAGCACAGACTGGAAACTGGGAGAGTGCAGTAACAGCAAGATTTGATACTCACAAAAGTGGATGAAGTAGACTTCATCAAAGGTTGGATCAGCTTTTTGAGCCCATGTGATAATCTTTTTCAATAGTATTCAATTATAAATGATTGAAATTGGGCCTCATTAGGTGAGCCCACATAATAGAACGTAGTTATGTGAAGTGAGGATTAAATGTTTGAGAGTTACTTTCCACAGCAGATTAGTTTTCCTACAAACTTTAAAAAGCTCCCTTTATAACTGTTACAATGACTAAAACCAAAAGGACGGTTGCATTTGATGTCTTTATAAACAAGATTGACTGATTATTTAAAAAAAAATCAGATATACAGAACGAGATGTGGTTAAAATAAAAGGAAATTGTGTGTAAGATGAAACAGGAAGGTGAAGGGTGAGTGAACCTGATGAGAACTGTTCACATCACATCTTCGCAGTAAGACTTATATGTTTGTACCACAGATAAAACAAAAATGCATATTTCTACATGCAGAAAATGACCAAAGTCGAACACAATGGAATTAAATTCTTAAGCTCATTCAAGTGCCATTATTGACCTTAAATAAAATTTCACACTTGATCTTCAATTAGAGGGAAGAGTAACATTATGTTGTTTTGGTCTAAGCAAGAAAGCTGAAAATATAGTGATGTTTAAAATATCTTTAAACTTGATCTACTTGTAAAACCTGTCACTATAACGCATCAGCTTTCAATGTTTTTTTTATATATCTATTATTGTAAGAACAGTCCTGTAAATTTGGTCCAATCACAAACATCAAATAGGATGTTTGCAGGAAGCCACATTATTTTTTATTAATTAGGTTTTATAAGGTTTTGTAAAATAGGCCAAATATAGCTGCTAACGTCTTTAAAGTGGGTTACGAGAGTTCCTCTAACAAAAATGCAAAATAGATATGGAAGATAAACTAGTCATCACCACTGATGAATTTTTAAGCAATTAGGTTTTTTAATAATGTAAAAAGTTATTATAAAAGAACCCTGTGAAAGCAGTTGCAGCCTCAATTCCCACAGGTTCATCTCTGTAAATGTTCCCTGGAAGGATGAGCAAATGAGCTCAGTTCCTTAAACATCAAACACTTCCTTCGAAGCCTGTTTTCAAAGAGCAATTTTATTTAAAAGTAGAAGGTAAGGGACAGTAAAAAGTAGAAGCTTAAACCATGTTTTAAGACCATGCAAACAAAAATCACACCATGTTCTTTACAAAAAAAGTTACATTCTGCATGCTGTACAGATGTGAGGGAGATGAGGGCAGGAGGTGGCTCACAACACAGAACTATATCACATATTTGAGTTCACTCCAATGGCAGCACCAGAAATTCCCAGAAAATAATTACATCAGCACAAAAGTAATGTGTTTACTCCTTGCCTGCTGTTTGACAGCTTTAGGGGTTTTCAAAACTCCTTTAAGTGAACGAACAGGGGGTGCAGTGTGTAATAGTGAGGAGGAAGAAGAGAAAGAGGAAGAGTGACTACCCCAAGGAGAGGAAGGTTGGCTGTAAATAAAAAGTAGCAAACTGTACGGCAGTTGTGTGGCAACAGAGCTTCGCTCCTCTTCTTTGCAACTTTTCGTCTAGAAGAAGCGGCCAGAATACTGCCTCACACTGAAATGAGAGACACATGAATCTGACACAGCAAAGACTGAAGTTTTGTTTTAAATATATATTATACCACAATCACAGAAGTGAGCTGTTAACACTGATGGCTGCAAAATGCAAGACACATTCACATGGAGTACAACTGTAAATAAAAGTATGTCAAGATCAAGGCTAAAAAAGTCCTGTGTCCAAGTAGTGTTAGCTGACCAGAGAGCACAATTATGTGAGTTCAACCTTTTTAAAATAAATAATGTTTAAGACAAAGTGATGATTCTGAAAAATACTAATTCATTAATAAGTATAATAAGTGTATTACATGGGCTTTTTACGCAGGATTTATGAACAAAAAAATATATAATATTTGCACGTAAGATTTCCAAACTCTATAGGCAGTTGTTATAATAATGATAATGCAGGTGTTTTTTTATTTACCTCTCTGCTTATATTACCTAGAGTCATTTCCCTGGACAGTTACATTTTAAAATGTACTCAGTGGAGAGACGGAGCTGCTGCAGTGAGAGGACGTGGAGTTTGAGTATGAAGCACATGCCTGTTCTGCAGCAGGTACTGGGCATTCTGGATCTGGTCCTGTGTTCCTGTGATGGTAATAATGCGGTCCTCAGAGCCCTCTAGTGGTTCATCAATCTTGATGGATGCCCCAGATTCGTGACGGATCTGCTTAATTCTCTGGCCACCCTTGCCGATGATGGAGCCAGCCAACTAGAAAGCAAGTGGTTTCAGAGGTCAAGTGTCCTTTTCTGTTTTTTTTTTTTCTGTGAAAGTCATGTGTTCTTCATGTTCACAGATGCTCTACTTACATCCTTTGGTATGGTGACTTGTGTTGTGATGACTGGGCCTCCGATATCACTGTATGATCCTCTACCACCTAGAAGAACAAAAAGTGATTGGGGTTCGAGTTAAAACATAAAAAGAACAAAAAGAAGAACAAACACCAGGAGTATAAACTGTCTCCACTTACCAGACTGAAAATGATCCCAGGAAGAATTGTCATCTGCGGAGACAAAGACAAAAGACAGTAAAGTAGCAACAGGATACACTGATGACTGGGCAATAAAGTGTCACTGTTAATATTTTTGTAGGCAATAAAGTGTCACTGAGGAATAAAGTGTCACTGTTAATATTTTTGTTGATAAATGTCACACGTTTTCCAGAAATTAAATTGTATTACATTACTTAAAATCACACAAGTCCTGTGACTTATATTCTGAGGTGTCTTATACATTAAAAATACACTCGATATCATCTATGGCCACAAGAGGGCAAAGTCTATGTTCATTACAACTGCTGCTGCACCACTGAAAACAATGGACGGACTCAACTATAAAGACTTCCGAAAAGCACAGAGATTTAAATGCCACAACAAATAAAAAAAAAGCCACACTGCAGAATTTAAACTGCAGATTATAAAGTATGGAGCCACAAAATATAGCAGAAAAAACAGAATAACTCGAACTGATGCTAACAGTTAGTGTGACAACAGACTAGCAGTAGAGACTGAGCTTCATTTTTCTCTGGAGTTGGAGGAATTAAAAGCAAGACTGGGATGAATGGATTTACTGAAGTGGAATAACATCAGAAACAAGTTGAACTTGTTAGCCTAATACCTTTTTTGGCCATGTTGTTAAGGCTATTGTTAACTATTAACTCTAACTCTATTAACTTATACTGTAGACTGTGGCCACTAATCTTTTTTCTTCTTCAGGATTTAAAATCTGTAAAATACGGTTCTGTATCAACAAACAGGCAGAACTACTGATTACTGGTCCAGGAAAACTCAGTAACATAATTTTCTGAGGGTTCATAATACTAAAAACATATGTGTTTTAAAAAGTACTTCTTATGTTTGTTGTGAGTGTTTTGTAAATAACACTGACCATATCCGCCTCCACTCTGTATTTCAGGATCAAATGGGGGGAAAAGAGACAAAACAAAAGTGTTAATATCAGAATAATGACATCAATCCTTGATACAATAAGCAAATAAAAAGCCACAGGAACATCAAGACTTAAAACATTCTGTCTGACAGGGGACAGGAGAATCATCCCTGCACCAGGAACATCCTGAATCATCATAGACACAGTTTCAGCAAGTCATTGGAACTGTTCCATCAGTGACTGAGTCAGTACTGATTCCGCAGCATTAAGCAATCGCTGCACATTCCTCAGCAACCTTCATGCTTCAACCATAACAACCTACTTAATTTGAAATGTACATTGTTGGGTTTAATCTGAAGCCTGGGGCCATTCAAACAGTCTGAAATATTCTGCAGTTATTGAGATTAAAAAGTATTAAAACTTCACTGAAATAAGGTAAAAACTTGAAAAGAAAAATTACATAATAACTTAACATTTTAAAAAATGGACTGACAAATAAAAGTTTTCAAATTCCATTTTCTTGGTTGCAGATGAACGCCTGGTCTGATACAAATGAGCCACATTTGCTACGAGGGACATTTCCCGGACTAAAGAATGTTGATGTCTCAAAACAAGAGCCTGACTAAACTAGAATGTTGATGTCTCAAAACAAGAGCTAACATTTCAGCTAAGGAGTTTTTAATTAGCCCAAAACATTAAAATGCACCACTTTCAAGTGCCACAAACACTTCTTTTATTCCAGAAAAAAAGTAATGGGCTCCTAACAAGGTTTGCAATCCAACATTTTCCTAGGACAATCAAGGCATCATTGCTTGTTAATCTAAATGTGTGTATAAACTATAATTGACCTCATTCACAGGTGAGCTGCACAGCAGGGCCTCCACTAAACATATTTTGTGAATGCCTTGCCTTGATTAAAATTGATGGTGGGCTCAACGAAGCCTGGTGTTAGGGTTAGATAAGACCTCTGAACTAAGACCAGTTGGAAAGACCAAACTGAAAAACCACACTGTCTATAATAAGCTTTAGAACTGGGTCACCATATCCAACATATTTAGTGATAATGTTTTAGGTGGTATTTCAGCTTTTGACTATCTAGGATGTGACTTCATTACAGTTCTAATTTTACCAAACTAATTGCCCATATTTAGGACGTTCAAACGAGAACACTGTATAAAAAGGTCAAGCTTCTAATTTTTTTAAATAAAAATAAAGAAAAGATCAGGGTTAACTGGGCAGTTATACAATTTCTTATCGTCAAAGTATTCCATCATTCTGAAAGGCTGATTTTTACACTGTTGTAATGCACACGCAACCTATTTGTCAGTGAATTGTATCAATACACATTTCTATATTTAATTGGTATCAATTAACCCTTTGGCCCCGATTGTCCGGGATTTACTTTGATTTCAGCCAAGGTTCATGTGCTAGCCTAGTTGATCTCTGGACTGCGTACTCAGCTGCTCTGCGGTTACCAAGGAAACAACTGTTGCCAGGCAACGGCAGGCCTAGATCAGTGACAAAGCAGCAGAGCTGAGTCTGTGCCTCCGCACTTGTACTTCACTCAGAAAAACGGAATTCCAATCAGCCAATGTGAATGGTAACTCACAAACATGTAGGACAAGCACACGGCACAGCTGAGCATCACAGCAGCACCTGTAAACACACTCACCATGCTTTCATAACGATCTCCTCCTCTGCTTCTTCTGTCACTTCAAACAAACAGATATGCATATAGTTTATTCTTCGTAACACAGCAGCTCAGGGTGGGTCACCGTTGGATATTTACAAAGTGCACAGACATAGTTGAACTCTAGAGATATCAGATACTGGAAATCTCCTCTACACTTATCAATATAAGTTATCACAATTTTTATTATTACATATAATGCAATATTAAAACATACATAATAACACATATATAAAAATCTACATCTGGCCTAATATTATGTTGTAATTTTATGAATATAAGTAATTTTTATGAATATGTATTAATACAACTTTAAATCATTTGCAGTGTGGATCACCATCACACCCACCTTGGTCTGTCGTCCATGCTGCTGCTGTGGTAACTGCTGTGTGAGTACCTGTCACTCCTGTAAACAGAGACATGATAGTGACTGGCCTTCAACTTTGTGTTTTAGGTCGTATGAGCTGTCAGATGACACATTACACTGGCAGTTTTTGACAGAAGCCACTGGAGATCATTACACACTGCACCTTCACATCTATCAATAAACACTATGACAACAGAAACACATGATCACCTACACAATTATTGTTCTATAGTCGGTTTACACAACAAATCTGTCTAATGTAAATACGATTTTGTTCAGTCGTTGGCTTTCTAATTCCTCAGACTATATGAAATATTGACTGGCCTAAACCCTTACCCTCCTCTTGGTGGCGGAGGCGGAGGAAGAGGTAGGTTACGTGCACGGCTGCCAACTCGTCCACCTCTGCTCAGCGGTGGTGGGGGACCTCGACGGGGGCTTATGTCATCATAGTCCCTTCTTGAGGGTGGCAAGGGTCTGTTGGCACGAATGGGGGGCATTCGCTCAAAGCTCCCACGTACACGAATGGGAAATCCACTAATAGGTCGTCTGCCTCTGTCCTCAAACAACATGGTAAAACCCCCATAGTCGTATGTCTCATCATAGAAATTGGGGTCGTAGGGTTGAGCACGACCTTTGATCGGTGCCTGTAGAAACCGAAACAAAGAGGGGAAAAAGCGTTGGAATGATTTAAGAGAGAGAGAGAGAGACAGATGTGGTCTTTAATAATATTACAGCTTCTAAAGACTGCAGGTTTAAGAGTTTAAAAACTCACCTCAGACACCAGCTCCAAGATAACTTTTATACATTCAATGACACGTTCTGGTTTGCCTCCCACTAAGACAACTCTGTCAGTAGAGTGTGGACAGCACTCCTGGAAAAGCTTGATGGTGGTGTGGGTGTTCTGGCACAGACAGGCAAATATGTTCAGATTTGGGCTCTTAAATAAGCCTTACATTTTATAATGACTGCAGTGGAACATTGAACCATTAATTAAAACCTAATTATTTTACAGCATTTGACAGAAAGTGTTTCTGAAACACACACATTAACAAACTCATCCTGGCAGAAACTGTGTTCACGTGGACTTTTGTTCTACCTCTCTTAGCTCTTTGATCTTGGCACCTTTGACCCCGATGATGCCTCCAGCCAGGCTCTGATGGATCAGCAGGCGAAGTTCACAGTCAAAGTCAATCCCACTGTAATGTTGGTACTGAGGAACACAACAAAATGAATCGCTGACATGAGGTACAGTAAATACAAACTGCACGTAATAAACTATCATTGCAGAATGAATTTTAAAAACAATGTCCAAAGTCATTACTTTTTTCTCCAGCCTATTGCTCAGTTCTTATTACAAAGTCATTACATTTTTCTCCAGCCTATTGCTCAGTTCTTCACGATCTCCAGAATACATAAAAAAGTAGCTCACCTCCTCTAGAGTTGGTATTATCTTCAGCAGAATTTCTCCAATTGTGTCGATGCTGGCATTCACACTCAGAATCCTATCAGAAACCATTGTGGCCGAAAGAGGAAAAAAATTATTGTAGAAGGAACAGATTATAACGCAAAAAAAAAAAAAAAAAACCTTTACAAAAGGACAGGAACAGCTGAAGGGACTTGTAAGGTATTTAAAAACCCAATATTTAAACTGTGTACACCTTAACTTCTTTCTTCCCGAAACTCATGTTTAAAAATATTAACCTGACATGCACTCCATTATACTAACTCATAATATTCTGGTTCAGAACTTGTATTAACATATGTAATGAATAGGCCAATCACAAGTTGACAGCTTTAGAACCATCTGGTATGATTGGTCTCAGATCTTTATGTTCTGACCGGATCTTGTGTTTGTGACGGAACACATTACGTCAAACACAATTATTAATGTGGTCACGTGTTCATTTGTCCTGATCCATTTTATGAGGATATGTTTATTTATACACGTTTCCAAACTAGTGTTTACTCTAGAATAGCAGGGGCAGCAGGTCATCCAAGACCCTTAGTTTGTGCCCCCTCATGCTGTTTTTCTGTTTAAGCAATGCCTGAACTGCCTGTTGCCTTCATCCCAATTTTAAAAGTACATTTCTGAAATTTTTAAATATATTTACAAGAGGAATATTTTTAAATGATAGTACATGTCAGACCTGCAACACAAATGCTATCAGAGGAGGTTGTAGCAGGCTCATAGTTTCGCTCTCACTAACTCTATAAAAACTTCCTCCTGCTCTGCTGCCACCAACTGTCACCACTCAGCCCATCCCTCCCAAGCTTCTGCAACACTGTTCCATGCAAACTCAACAGCTGCTAAGATGTTAGACCAGTCTGCTACACTAGCCGTCATTGGCCTTCTATACTAGTGTTTGCAGCTGAGACGGTGAGTAAATAAAGGTAGTATTGAGGAGATATGACCTTAACACTTTTTTACCGTGTCTCCGTGACCTGGTTTATGAATGACTATTCTTGCTCTCAATACTGAAACAGTTGTTGCAAAAAGAAAAAGAAAGAAATCAGAAGTGATTTTCAACAAAGACACAGGGGGAGTTTGAAAGTTGTAGTTTTGAGGTAGCCGCCAAACTGAACTTCATATCTGTCTCTTGTCCACTTGTGATTGAATCATTCAGGACAGATGTGAATAGAAGATCTGAACAGATATCTTTTCAGGACAGGAAGCTTCAGAACAGCTCAACATTGATCTGGGAAAGATTTATAACCATCCCACCACCAGGACGTTGAAGAAAAGAAATACAAAAATGACCATTGTGCTACCAGCAAACCTTCAGTCTAACCAGGTGGGTTTGGGGAAAAGGGAGAGGTTGGAAGGAAAGGGCTTGGAGCTAAGGTGAGGGGAAACGAGGTGGGCAGTAGAAAAGAGTAACAGAGCAGAGGAGTTGAGGTGGGTAAGGAAATGTAAGTGATTACCAACTTCTCTCTGGCACAGGACAAGAGCAAAGTGGGGTTGGGGGTGGGAGTGGAGGGGGGTGTGGAGGGTTATGAGAGGTTCGGCAGGAAGCTTTGACCTGATGTGGCCTGAAAAAATTTAACAGAAGGAATGCAGCCAGACCAAATAAAGAGACAATATTAATGACTGACAGAGTGGAGGGTGGAGCCTCCAGACACAAGCCAGTGCACTCTCAGAGATTATGGACAGTGATGCTGAAAAAAGTAGGTGGAGGGGTTGAGGGAGAGGGAGATGGGAGGTGGAGGACAGAGGGGGCGCCAGGTGAGCCACAGACGACAGAGCGAGAAGAAGATGTCTGCGTTCCATAGATTCAATGGCAAAATTAAACATCACAGCGGGGAAAATCAACATCCAACAGCTGTGTGGCAAGCCATAAAATACCAGCTTCTTGGTAATGGTTTTGTCAGCGACTCTTAGCATTGACAATAAACTGTAATGACAAGAAGTCCAACTCAATGGAGATGCTCAACATGGACAGAGAAATCAAAATGAACAGTACAAGTTTCTTACAAGTGGAGGAGAGGGATATCTGAGGGTGGGGGTGGGGGGGTACGTTCATGTTCATCAAGATGTTAAAATGAAACAGAAGGCAGGTTATCAAAGACATGTGTTCCACTGTTCTAATCAGGCAGTGAGGCAATAACTGGTGGGACATACCGCTCTGGGCCACTGCTGTCTGGGACAGATACACTGGCATTGTACTGCATGGGCCGAGGTGGTTGTGGTGGTGGTTGTGGTGGAGGAGGTTGGCATTGGGCAGGGGCATTCAATCACAAGATGTCAAGTAAGGTGCCCGTGTAAGGAGGGGCACGGTTTATGGGCAGGGCCAACCGGGAGTGTCAGGTGGGCAGACGGGCATGGCGTTCAGGGGCGGGCGGGCGGGCGGAGGTTGGGCCAACATCGAGGTGGGCAACGCAGGAGGGGCATGTCGATCCGGTACATGGGCAACGGAAGGTGGCCAAAAGTGAAAACAAAAAGTAAAGGAGAAGGGAAGAGGAGGAGAAGGAATACATTTTTAATTGGAAACAAGCTATACTTTGTCCCATATGTGTAGAGACAGTGACAGACGTGAAACTGCTGGGAGGAAAGAACAGGTGGTTTGAACTGGTCATAGTTGCTGAAATAAGAGGTTTACACAGCTGTGTTAAAATGTGTTATTGCATTTTTATTAGGACTGTCAAAATGGACATGTTTATTGTGTGCACTGATTTTGTTAAAATTATTATTCATCCATCTTCATCCAGGTTTTTGTTTCACTGAAGCATCTCAAGCTCAAAATACCATCTCAACACCATATGCATACGTTTGAGGAGGCTTCGATTTCAAGTCAAGAAGAAAGTCTACAACTAACAAGATGACTGAGACAACTTTTTTGTTTTTGTTCTGTTCCAGCAATATACAGAAAAAGGGTCGTCTTTAATGAAGGTGGATTTATCTCAATTAATCATGATCCATTGTGATTAATCATGAAGAATACAGCTGCTCTGTTACTAATCAGATCAATTCTGATCTATTAAATCATTTGACAGCCCTAATATTAATGTCTATTTTGCTTTTCTAAAAAGTAATGTAAGTATTGGTGGAGGGGAAAAAAGATAAACAAACATTTTCTAAATGTTTTTTAGAAACTCCCATGTATTATAGTGTACAAGGCAGGTCAAAAACACCTTAGTGACGTCTTCTTTAGAAAATTCACATCCAGTTGTCTAACAGAACTTTTCAACCTTGACCTTAGTGAAATTCATTCAGTTAAGAATTTATTTCAATTTGTCAAACACTGAATTTGTATTTCACAATTATGGCACTTAGTTTCCTCAGTTGTTGACCTGAGATCTGATCTGAACTTTTTGCTAACTGTAGCCAGGTTCTGATAGAAAATGGTTTAATTTTCACAGTTCTCCCAATTCAAGACCAGGAGATTTTTTACAGGTAGAAACGAACTGTTTCTGTCGAAATAATTTAATGCTTTGCTGGTTAAATGTGATTGGTTATTTCTGTCATGTTTTTGTTTTACATGACCCAAACCAATCTTTTTTATTTTTTCGCATCAAGATTATAGTTTTTTTTTTTTTATTTATTTATTCAATACCCAAATTGCGACTTGAGACATAAAATAAAAACTTGGCAAATGGGTGTGTCAACTCTGTATCAGTCTGGAGCACTACAGTGATCCATGTCCCTGCAGAAACATGCCGTCATCTCAGGGTTTCAGACACCTGTTGTCACTTTAGAGTCAAAAATAGCTTCAACTCTAGTAGACGGACTAAACTTAGGCAACGGCTTTTCAACAGGACTAAAAACCAATCCCAATTGTCTAAGAATGGAGTTTTATATAAATTGATGTGTCAAATATTTCAAAGTCTGCATGCAAAAAAAATTGTAAAAGTTTTACCAATTCAATAAAAATTACAAATCTGCAAAAGAGAAAGAGGCAGTACTTGACCAATTACTCACGTCTGTGCGCAGGGCTTTTATGTTCTTTCCACCCTTTCCAATAACAGCACCCGCATTCTGTTAAAAAGACAACGTAGGTTGTGCTTACTGGACGAAACTAGTACAACAGGACAACTAACATTTCCTCTTTAAAGACTTTACTTTGCTCTGAAGCAGCACTCGGAGCTCAACCATCTCATCTGCGTTGCGTGAACGTTTGAAAGCCTGCTTCTCGTCCATGTCCTCCGCTGGGCGTTTGCCTGAAAGGGACAACAATTATCTCTGTATTAGAAATTCATTATGTATAACGAGCGTTCTTGTCCTAGACCTTTGAGATCAATGAGCAGAACAAAACACTTCCCATCTTAAGCATGCAAGTATAGTGGTGTAAAAATCTGCTGTTATAACCTGGGATAATAAACCAGCACAGGCAACCTAATTGTCATTACAGGTGCAAACACTCGAGGGTGAAACAAACAATTAAAAAAAAATAATGATACACAATGAGAGATTGCCATACAGTATATTCCACTATAAAAATGGATTTAGTTCAGCAGCCCACTGCATCTGGGAACAGGTCCAGAACTCCCATGTACCCTTCTTGGATTAAAGCACAAGCAGATCTGCTCAGGACCCACAGAACAGCAGTGTCTTGGACAGAAGAATACCTCAACCATCTGATGTGTCCATGTGCCATTAAGAGCTAGCCAGACTATGTCCTTGTTTGTCCTTTCAAAAATACACTTTAAAGCTTTTTTCCCCCTTAGATTTAAAACTCTTTTTCAAGCATTTTTATTAAATACAAAGACTAAAATTAATTCTTATTCCTCTCAAAGTATCAGTGCAATAATTAGTTCTAAGTTATTGTTATTATAAATATCTCCCCTTTAATTCTCTGACACACAGGACAATTACAACAATCTTACTGTTAGTGTCACTGTTGCTGAAAGAGATGTCTTCGTCGCTGGTTTTCACATCCATTGTTTTGCAGGTTCGGGATGTAGACAGGCTGCCCTCACTGTATCTGATATGAGAGAGTGAAAAAATAAATGGTCAAAATCAACCAGGCTGGCTCCAGCTGTATTCACTTCACTATCATCGGACAAAAAGAGTCCAAATCAAACTCAGTTCTTCCAAGGGTTTAAAGAATAAACTAAAGGACAGTGACGTTCTGCTAACACATCCAAATCCTTCTGATCCATCTTCTAGTTGTTTAAAACATAGCTAATACATAAAACTATGATCTATGAACTAGCAGCATTCCTGGTTGGATATTAACATTTCTGAATGGTGAAACAATGATGATGTTTTGTGAAATGACTGTGTACCTCTCAGTGCTCCTTAATCTTAAATTTGTTTTTGTAGTGCTCCTTAATCTTAAATTTATTTTTTGTTTTTTACAGTATTCCTTTCTACCTCCAGTTATTAAGACACTTAAGGGCAAATGTTATCAACCATATAGAAATATGTTCTGTTTATGGTCAAGCAGGAGGAGCTTTTTTAAGCTTAGCATTTGAGGTTACTAGTAAGAAAAATGTCATTATAATCTTACATTTAAGAGAAGTATATGTGTGCGTGTGTGTGTTAAATTTTAAGATTGCATTTGATGTTATTTAATGTGTTCTAATGTCAATATTTAGCACACTTATGCTGGAGGTATACAGCTAAATCAACAGCAAAGATCTGTGCTATATTTAGCCGACTAGCCAGCTATAACATTACCAAAGCCAGCCCTCATAAAAGAGAAATGAGTCGTGCATATACGTATGTCCATGGGTGCATTTTCTATCCAGTATGCGATCACCAGCACCCAGAGTGAAATGTTAAATTAGTTTTTGTATATATCATAGCACTGAGGGGGATTCCTGGGGAAAAATAAATGGGATAAATAGCCCGCTCTGCAGGGAGCAGATGGTTGCTGGATGTAAATACAAAGTAAACAGCATGACACGCTTTTCCTTTAACAACATAAAGCTGTAGAACATTCGCAAATGAAAATGGGAGTAAATTACTGAGTATTATTTCACATGGTTTGTTATTCGGGCAAAATATATGCATATTTTACTACAGTCACGTCAGGTGCCATTTTAACTTACTTCAAGAAGGTCAGTTATTTATTACATGTCACTGCTGATGCAAAACTGACCGGAGCTTGTGCAAACTGCATCTCTACAATTAGGCCGTAGTTAAATTAAGAGGTATTCTGGTTAACTGACCAACTGTAGCCTCGTTCAGTTTACTCAGACTCACTCCACACTGTGACGAAGAGTATACTAATAATATTTCGGTGTTTGTTTTTTTTACCAAAGCTAATAACGCGCTAGTTGTTGTTTTTACCAAAGCTAATAACGCGCTGTAACAGGTTGAGGCCACACTGTGTTTTTTTTAAATTGACGATTCAATTTGATATTTAATATGTTACCGTGGTATTATGAAAGTGCGCAATTCTCTCGAGGTGGGAAGAAAATGGTTCGTCAAGAAAGTCAGCTACGGTCTCTGTAGAACGGGCAATGTGACTTTGTGTTTTTGTTTTGCTAAGCTAACAGCTCGGTCAGCCACTGTGTTGCAGCCAGCTTCTGTTGACACGTTGTCCATTCACTATGGAGAAATATTGCGGAACCACCGAACGTTCAATACGAGCGGCGACAGCTGCGTCTGTCAGCCATTTGCTAGGTACCAGACCAACTGACGTGACTTTCAACTAAAGAAACAAAGAAAACAGACCTGCAGTAAAGACACGGTCACTGCGGTCCTCCGCGGTTTGTCTCGCCCCGAAATGTTTACACGGTTCCAGTGTGGATAGAAGACACAACGTGAGGGTGGCAACGCCGTTTCGCTCCACGGTCACACAGGGGTGTAAATCTTTTACTGTCCAGCCCCGTACGCGCGGGCGGGGCTAAGACCCAGCGCTGATAATCTGCAGCGAGTTCATGTGAATAGGAGAACAGAAAGTACAGTTAATCAAACGCACTCTCATCATGGTGAGTGGTTGCCCCGAGTAAAAGCTGACAGGCAGCTTCCCCGCCACCTTTAAGGCCAGTTAATTGGTTTAGTCCGTCGATCTCTAAACTTGTTCACAGTGTAAAGGAAAACTCAAAATTAACAAATCAAGCTTTTACTTAATTGTTTGGGAACTACAAGGACATTTTCACAGGGTGGTCCAAGTCGACTACAAGATGACATATAATGTCATTGGCACACCAGGACATTTTCACAGGGTGGTCCAAGTCCTCTTCTGTCTACATCCAATCCTGTCTAATAACAAAATGATATAGTGAAGTACTTGTCATTGTGACACGGCACACCGCTGCACACAACGAAATGTGACCTCTGCATTTTACCCATTTTTACTGTAAATTGTTACGTACACTAACATAGACTGATGGTCTTTAAGGCCAGTAATCCCTGATGTCCTTTAGGATTGGTTCTAGATGCCATTGAGCTTGTTAGCAAAGAAAACAATAGAAGACGAATTGATAAATATAATTAGACTGATTTTAAGTGTTTTCTTAATTGTTTTTGCCAGAAATAGAGCCGTGTATTTTTAATTACTGAGACAGTTAAGACCGATTAATTGGTGATGATATAAGGATGTAGATCAGTGGCCTGAAGAACAACAGCATCACTCTACGCAAGGTTCAAGATGAGTCTGCCACTTGAAAAGTTGGCCATTGAAAACAGAAAATTTGGATTATACACAAAAAGCACCAAAATCAATGTAAAAAAAGGGGAAGGGCACAAACCAAACTCTAAATATTTAACCTAAAAAAACCCAAACACAAATAAGACATTACTACAACTGGTCTGTTTGTCAAAATTACATTACCTGATACCAGGACATATTTTCAGAATCAAATTTTTTAAATATTTTTAGCAACTAAAAACATGTGGGTTTCAATTGAAATAAATAAATAAATAAATAAAACATGCCTTTTTTGGCTCATTTGGTGATTCCTTCTGTAAGAGTTTCCTCAGCATAAACTGGCATAGATCTCTGTGCCAGATGTCTTGCCACAGGCAACCCATCCCATTCATCTGGGCTTAAGACTGGCCTCAGGAGGACACAGAATGTGGCCCCTCTGTGGCTGGTTCTGATTGACACCTTAGGGTTAATAACATGCCAAGTGACACATTAGTGCCATGACAAACAAGGCCTCCAGTCAAACCTTCAACCTAATTGTTGCTTACAGAAAAAAAAAGTTCCAGGCATAAAATATACACTGGTATTACCTGGAGATGCAATAATACCTGTACTCACTAGCAAATATTAGTCTTAGCCACTGGTTTGTGTGTTTATTACAGCAGTCCGATTGATGAGTGAGAGACAATCAGTCGACATTCATGGTGGATGGTCTGGTTATTTACACCGATTGATGATTGAGAGACAATCAGTTGACATTCATGGTGGATGGTCTGGTTATTTGGGTCTTGATGACCACACTTCAGCAGTAGCTAGTTTCCCTTTCTAGGCTGTGATTGTGTAGGTTTGGTTAGAGAAAACAAATTTGCCTACTATCAAGAAAGAAATCTAGGGGAATGTTGTAGGTTTGGTTGGAGAAAACAAATTTGCCTACTATCAAGATTAACATTTGGTCACTTTTTTGTATTCTACCTTTAATTGTCTTAAGGATAATGAACTTTAAGCTGTGGTTTCTGTCCTTGTCTTTTATACCTGGATATTCCTCTGGTAAATAAGTTAATAATAAAATCCAGTTGACTTGGTAATTATATAACGTCCCATTACAACATCCTAATTCATTTAATATTTTAGTTGACACTTTTAAATCACACTATACAAATGTTATAATACCCTTTTTAAATATCGGGAGTTGATGAGGGGGGTGTTAGATGAGACTCACAATCAGAAGAGATTCACCTTCACAAGACAGTGACATTGTTGTACCTGATGAAATAATAAAGCCATGAGATCACACATGTTCATCAAAAGTCATCTCCTCTCTGCCGCTCACTCTTTTTGTTTGGGATGTGTCCATAATTAATAAGCCCTACTCTGTTTCAAACATTCCCCTCCTGCTATGGCGCTACTGTGCTCCACGAGAAGCAAGGATCTAGTGCAAAATAAAGAGCTCTCTTCCCTCTCCTCCACTGTGATGTTACCATGGAGACAGATATAATTCAGTTCTTGATGTTTCCTCATAAAAAATTAAAAAAAAAAAATCCTGCGTACATATTTTCATCTGCAACCATAGCAACACTTGACAATGTCCGCTTTTTTGTAAAAAAGCAGGTCACCATAGCGACGCTAACCATCCAGGCTGTCACAGATCATGTCCTCTCCTCGCTGATGTTCCTCCCTATTATTAGTAATTTTTAGGAATCCACTGGTCAACATGGCTGCTCTCATCTCTGTCCAAACACATCAAAATAACAACTTTTAAGGTAATTTTTTTTACTGTAAAACAATAGGAGTTGAAATTAATGAGATATAATAAAATCTATAATTATAATAGTAGTAATAATAATGAGGATAATGGTGATTTTAGTAATAATAATAATAATTATTATTGTGCCAGATGTAATAATAATAATAATTATTATTATTATTATTATTAACTTCTATCAGAAAATATGAAAAATTTTAGGTTTTTAGTGGCTAATGTCACTTCATAGACCTACATACAGGCCAATATTCAATCGCATTATTATCTAAAAAATATATTTTTTGCATCTATAATATATGTATATACAGTATATATATATATACAGTATGTGTGTATGTGTGAATAGTATATTTAATGTTATTCAAATCAGAGCATGTCATCTCAATTTGATCACTATGTTTGAACAGTAATGGAGACTATATACTATTGACATGTGGGATATTCAACACAACTGTAACTATTATACTATTGACATGAAAACAGAGCTGTGGGATATTCAACACAACTGTAACTATACTACTACAGTACGTGATGCTAAATCCTTCATAGTTTCCCTTCACTGGGCCAGGAGTTTGTGTGGTGTTGGTCCACATTTCACCTCACAGACATCCAGTGGTTTTACAGTCAAGGTTCTAAGAGTCCAGTTATTACCATTCATTATTTGCCCCTTGTCTTAGTTTGCCATCAACTATTGCCATCAACTAGTTATTTTTTTTTTACCAAGATCCTGTTATTCTGCTGAAATAATTTATTTTCCAGACATTGTCTTTGTTTTATCTCATGATCATCCATTTTTAGACTGTTTCTTCATTTTTTTTTTTTTTTGCCTCTTGTCACTTTTCTACTGTATAGTGTGTCTATAGTGTCTCTTTAAACTTCTTGATAATACTGCCCCCTCCAGTTTTTGACACTTCAAACATTTTTACTGTTATGTTTATCCTCCATCACTCTCACGTATTTTGATCTAATTGATTAAATCAAATGAGTTATTTTGCATTTGCCATGAGTTTTTTCACAATAAGTAATAATAATAATAATAATAATAATAATAATAATAATAATAAGGCTTTGTCAAAAATGAAGTTAAGGCAAGTGCACTTAGGTATTAATCCTTACTTTTAAACATATACGTGTAATATTCTAAACCCTATATGCAGTACATGAACATATCTTCAATAATATATAGTATTTCATATTTTAAATTTTACTGTGTTTTTTGTATTTATTTGGGAACTGTCGACTTTACTCAGATTTATAATTGCTATTTTCTTTTCTTCTCTTTGTGTCATTCTCAACTTCCCCATTTTGGTATCAAGTTTAATGTAATGTAATCAAATGTAATCTAATCTAATCTAGTTCAAATTTCAAGCACTTTAAGACGCATTTACTTGTGCTGTAACAAATGAAGGGGTAGGCATTCTGACATTGACATTTATGCAGTTTGTGAAAAGAATTTACAGTTGTTTTCCCAAGAAAAATGCAAATGCAACACGATCTTACATAAGTTTGAATAAAAGCAGTATGTGAACAAAAATGCTCCGTTGATAATACTACCAATAATACACAAAGATACGATTAAAGGAATCTACAACAAATGCTTTAAAAAGGAAAGTAAGGGAAAGGAATCTCTAACAAATGCTTTAAAAAGGAAAGTAAGGAAAATACAGAATACTGTGGCTACATTAATGAAAAATACTTCTCTTAAAATGTTCTTGAAAATAAAACATATTATACAAGTAAGCACACACCCCTCCCTCCCTCCCTCCCGCTCGCTCCCCCGTGGTGCACCGATCAGTGATGGAAGTGAGGCCCATTTATTCGAAGCTCGCAGACATAGTATAGGTCATTATTTTTCATAGATGCACCCGTCTTGTGCGTCAAGCGTACGTCACACTATAGGCCTAATATGGTGTGTGTGTGTGTGTGTGTGAGAGAGAGAGAGAGAGAGAGAGAGAGAGAGAGGCTGTGTGTGCGCGCGCGCGATTGCGTGCGTATGTTTCCAAATACAATACACGAGTTCCATCCGTTCCACGGTCGTGTCCACTGCAAACAGAACCCATCTGACCCACAGTTCGACACTTTTTCCTGCAGCCTTTAATCAGCACAGCAGCCGGGTTTTTTTTTTGTTTTGTTTTTGTTTTTCCAGTTTGGTAAAACGGATGTCAAGTAAATCTGAGAGAACATAAAAAAAAAAAAAAAATCTAATTGTTATTTTTTTTAATCAAACTTGTCTTTGTCTTTATCGCCGCTGTCGCCTTAACCTTGCGCTCCCAGGGCTGGGTTCTTGCGTGGGGAGACGCGCTCGTCCACGTCCATAATCGATAGACGGGTGCAGGTAGCCTTGCCTTGCCTTGCCTTGCCTTTCTCCCTCACACACGCAGCATCCCCACGCATCCCCACTCCAGTGTGCAGCCTCCCTCTCTGCTATTTTCCTCTCCATCACATCCCCGCACTCAGGAGCGGACACTTGTGCGTGTGCGGGGCCTTTGACTATTGATCCGCGCACATCTGGAACACCTCATATTTGTTTTAATAAGGCAGGGATAGAGAGAGTGTATGTGTGTGAGAGAGGGAGAGAGTGAGAGAGAGAGAGAGAGAGAGAGAGAGAGAGAGAAAGAGAAAGAGGCGAGACAGGGAGTGAGACAGCCGCAGGAGGAGCAGGAGGAGCAGGACGGAGCACTTGACACCTTTGCTTCTCCTCCACGGCATCGATATGCAGTAGCTCTGCGGAGACAGCAAGGCCAGTCCGTGGCTTCTTCATATTAGAACCGTGTTTCTCTGCGCATTCCTCACCGACGGCGCTGTCTCGTTTCTTTATCCCCCCCCCTCCTCCTCCTCCTCCTCCTCCTCTCCCCTCCTCTCCCCTCTGCGGATTACCTTGACCAGGGAACACAGCCTCACACAGTAGTGCAACCTGAGCAGATTCTGATTTTGGGGGGATTCGGTGGGGACACCATTGGACCTTGCCATGGACTCCAGCGCGGGGAATTATGGCATGGCTCGTCTTGGATTGTTTTTGGTTTTGGTGATGGGGCTGTGGAGATTCAGCGACGCTTGCCCCGCATCCTGCACTTGCAGCATCTCAAGGATTGTTTGTATTGATTCTGTACCAGGGATCGAGGATTTCCCCCTGCTCACGCTGGATGACATGGAAAACATCACCGAGATGTAAGTGCATTAAGGACGATCGTGCCCACGGCTTCACAACTTATTAGGATGCAATGTGTAGAGGTCTCCCCTCGGTAGGTCGTAAATAGACAGAAAACCCGGTACTGTTAGTAGTATTAGTACAATTTGTTTTATGATTGACAACAATAATGACACTAACACTATCATCGTTACCCGTGATGACATCCACATCAGAACTAACTGCGTTTCTCCTCACAGTTAAAGATCAGTGAAGATCTGTGTTCATGTCAAAACACACGAAAGATATTTTATCCACATATAAGCTATGAATTTGTTACATCGTGTGTGTGTGTGTGTGTTTGTACGTGCGTGCGTAACGGTGGTGAAAGCGTGCGTCAGGCGTGTTTGGATTAGTCGGTGTTTCGTTTCGTTTCTTTTTTTTTTTTAACAAAAACAACTCCTGAACGAAGCAGGTAGTGATGGTGTGAAAATGTCCAGGCCCCCCAGCAGCCTCATCATCAGGGCGGTGTGACGGGGAAATGGACTCGGTGTTGTGAAAAAAAAAAAAGACCACCTTGTTGGCAGATGTAACACCCGTTTTAGACTCAGCGTGCACGGCTGCCGGAGCGTCGTCTGCGTCAGTGTGTAGGCCCCGATGTGCGACCCTGCCCAGACACACTAACATCTACTGTCTGAGTTTTTCTGAGGGGGACACGACTGAGTCTGCAGATGACACAGCTGCCCGTCCACCGGTGTTTACTCCCCCACCTCACCCCCCTGTACGCCCTCCTCCACTTTGTCTGAAGCTGTGAGGTCCAGTTACTATAATACACATCCAAATTATATTACAACAGATCTACAGACAGGAGTTCTCCACACTCCTCTGTAGTGGGATACACCAAAAACCCCAGTGTCCTTTGTTATCATATAGGTGTCAATTTGTTCAAAAATGTATCATTTATTTTTGTACAGGTTTAAGGAGTTTGCGTTGTGAATACACTGATACTTCAGTTCAGAAACAAAAATAAAAACTTCTTTGTCAACATGAAATATATCATTACATGGAACTTTGAGTTTTTATCCATTTGTTGGAAAAAATGGCACAGATTCCTGCAGGTATTTTGAGTTTTAGCCTCAAATTTATACGTTTTATCCCGTGGTCATTCTGACCCCAAAATAAAATATTTTCTATTTGAAGTAATATTCAGTGTAAACAGGATCTTTAGGAGTTGTTTTGTAGTAACAAGTTGCGCTAAAGTAAGACTACAAGTAGAGTTCATTTATATTTTGTACTTTAAATAACAATCAAAACAAGGTGAGGTCATTTTGATCACAGTTGTTGGAGGTCAGGAGGTCATCATGGGGTTAATAGCAACTATTTGTTGTTTATTATAAAGTGTACGCCTACTGCTTCCAATGGCATCAACATAAAATAATACAACTATTAATTGAAGTACTAAAAGTCGTCAGGTAATACTTAAAGAAAATACACACCAGTATTTTTTATTTCTTCTGTATTTAAACATGTTTAACATTTTTCACAACAACTAAATTCTTCAGTTAATTTTAATCAAAAGCTAAGGTTCACTGTACTACTGGATCATGAGCAAAATATCTGGAATCTTCTTTCAGGTATGAGTGAAGTCAAAACCTACTAAGTTCCTTCTTTTTTCTAGGTGTTAAAAGTCAGTACTTATAGTAGAGTATGGAGGACGTTTATAGACAACAGATAACGGCTAACACTACTACATGTTTACTCTGTGCCACAAATAGTATATACAGTAACTGTGAGTGTATATATATCATAAAGGGATCTGTGATATACGTGTCATTAAGGTCACTGTAACCAGGGCACGACTCTTTGAAATGAAACCTTTTTTAATACTTCTCCTAAAATGAACAAATACAGTTGGCACTCATTACCCTCTGACAGTGAATGTTCATGGACCGGTCACTAACGCTGACCTCCTCTGTATCCTCACACAGATACATTGCGAATCAGGACAGACTCTTTGACATCAACGACAACAGTTTGCGGTATTACATCAACCTCAGAAACCTGTAAGTACTTCACTCTGTGGTTTTTGTGTGGTACGGAAATACACGAGTCGCTTCTACGAGGAGTTAAAACGTTTGCTCTTCCTCTTCCAACAGAACAGTGACCAGGACAAGACTAACATCCATATCAACAGATGCATTTTTCAACAATACAAGACTACAATATGTGTAAGAACCAGACACGCTCCAGGACTACGGATACACCAGTGATTCCCAACACATTTGTGTGCCACGGGAGACCATTTAGCTCAGCCAAAAAAAAGAATACATTATTTACTGCGATAACTTGTCTTTGCAAAAGTGACAGACAGAACAAATAAGTACTGTCCGCTAGATGACAGCAGGTGGCTATAAAAGACAGAAGATTGCACAGAGACTTGGATCTGTTAAAGATCTTTTCTCTCTTTCTTCAATTCCTGTGAGTATATCAGTATAACGTTCAACTAAACAGGCCCAGTTTCATATACTTAACTACAAGGTTATTATATTTCATACACACTGTGACATTTCGGTTTGGGGGTGGACATTTTTCTAATTTAAAATATGGGCGGTGGCTAAGGTTGTCAAACACTGCTTCACACTGACATATATGTGTGTGATTGCAGTTTATGAGGTCGACCTCTTTGTCTAACCTATGTGGTCTGACCTTCCACGCCTCCTTTGTGTCCCTGGGAGCATTTAACGCAGTTGTAGTAAAATCTGCAGGAGGTAAAACCGAGGTTTTCCACGACCTGTTGTATTAACACTAGGTTGATAAAGGTTCTTTACTTGCGCTGAATTAAATGTGCAATAAAGTCCAGCGCTTTAACAGGGGGATGAGGTAGAAGCCATATGAATGAATAATTAAATGAATGGATTGATGTAACCTTGCTTAGAGGTTTATTTTTGTTCAATCAATTATTAATGAATACTTTCTGCTACCTTTTAGAAATTTAAGAGACAACAACCTCTCGACATTGTCTTGGCGAACTTTTCAGAACTTCAACATCTCACATCCGTAAGTACCACAGGCGGTTCTGGTCACATTTGAAGAACGTCCACTCTCACTCTGAACATCGATGGACGTGTTGGGGTTTTTTTTTTTTCAGACTCCTGCTGTCAGGAAATCCTCTGGATTGTATTTGTGAGAACTTGTGGATCAATCTAAGGCTACAGGAAGAAGGTGACGGTCAGGAGCTAAAATGTACCGACGACAGAGGAGAGATGATGACCTTTGGCACTTTCCCTCTACTGGATTGTGGTAATGTGAAACCCTGATGTAGTAAGCAGTGCAGAGTAGCTGTGTAACATGATAGCAGACACTCAGAGGGCTGATGGTCTCCGGGGGAAAGAAAAGAGAGTTGTAATGAAATCTGAACCCTGCAGTAAGTATCTGGTCAGGTGTTTAAGCTGGCTTCTCCCTGTTGTTCTTTCACAGTGTTTCCGATGGTAGATGTCACACCGAAGGTTGTGACCAAGATGCAGGGAGGTGATGTTAAAGCCGTGTGCACTGCCACGGGCTCCCCGACTCCTGAGATCCTGTGGAACCTGGATATACTCTCCACCCACCACAAGGTGAGTGCTTCCTCCACAGCCTGTATCCAACCCTGGTCCATCAGTTACCGGTCAACAAGCCAATCACAAAGGTCATTTTTATTATTCATGGTTTTTTTTTTTTTATTTGTCCATTTAAACTTCAAAAATGTCCAGTTTTATTATCATCGAGGAAACTGTTTTTGATCACGTTTGTCTGCGTCTCCACTCCAGTATCGTCAGTATTTGTTTTTTCCCCCAAATACATTCCACACGCAATACTATCTTCAAAAATAAGCCATGTAAAATACATAAAAATTAAACTCATTACTGAATAAAACTAGTTATAAGGTTGAATCATATGAGCTCCAATATCATTGGAGAAAAGTGAAATTTTTTTTAACCTATTTTCTTCAATATTCAGTGCCATTTCAACTGTCTGAAAGATAATAAAGTTCTAAGACAGATAAAAACTTTCTTTGATTGTGAGTATGACAACCTGAGTTTTTTTCCTACATATCCTCATTTTAAGTATAAACACTTTTGCAAGAGGTGCTTCCACCAGAGACGTCCTCACCAGGTCAGAACCTGCTTTTTCTTGCTGCCTCCTAAAGACTAAATCAAATCACATTTAAATTCTTTAGTTTAAGCTGGAGCAACATTTTGATAATTTCGCCTGGTTTACATCCAGTATGTTACAAAAGAAATATTTTCTCGTGTTTCAATAACTTCTAAGGGTTTCAAACGATCATTTCTGAGGTTTGAAAACACTTTGAAAAAGCTGGGACAAACGTATAAAAACATTTTGGAAATGCTACACATTTGTTTTAGAACTTTTCGATATACACACACGATTGGTCTCAGCTCAAATCCACAGCGAGGCTCTGTCCTGTGTGTAACCTGTACCGTGACTGTGTGTTTGCAGATCGACCCGCAGGAAACAAAGAGCACCCTCACCCTCTTCGGCCTGTCTCCCTATGATAATGGCAGGGTGATTGTGTGCAGCGCCGAGAACATGGTCGGTCAGACGGAGGCCACTATCCAGCTGAATATTCTCTGTGAGCCCTTTTGCTTTGCTCCTGCCATCATTGATCGTTAATGATGATTAAGTGTGGCCGTGTGGCATACATCCATTAAAATTATGTTTACTGTGAAGGTTTGTCTCATTTCCTCTCAAATGATCTTTTAAGTGACTTTAATTAGACTCTGTGTTGTTTCCACTGAATGCAGTTAGTTTTCCTTTCTGTTTCTCACTAAATCTTATTGACTCTCCGTGTCTCCTCTTCATCACTCTCCTTCCTGTGCCACATTTCTCCTCACTCCCTTCTTCTATCCATTCGTTCCTTACGTCGGCTTTCAAGTGCCAGCTGATTGGTCCACTTTCTTTTGCCCTGCTTCATCCCCCATAAATGTCACTCTCCCTACTGGTGTTGCTCCATGGCGTTGATTTACTTCTTTCTCTCTTCTACCAGTTGCCCCCACCATCGAGCAGCTGCTGGAGCCACAGCAGAACCACCACTGGTGCATTCCCTTTGGCGTGACGGGAAACCCGAAGCCCGAGCTGCAGTGGTACCACGAAAACAAGCCCCTCCAGGAACACGACTACATCCACACCAAGATCCACAAGTCCGTGGACAATGTGGACTACGGCTGCCTACAGCTGGTCAACCCTACGCACATTCACAACGGCCTGTACAGGCTGGTGGCCAAGAATGAGTACGGCTGGGATGAGAAGACTGTCTCGGCCATGTTCATCGACCCACCAGAAACAGGTGACAATGGTCTTTCTTTCCTGTAACAAAACAATGAATGGGCAAAAAACGTATTCCTATTCACGTCTGTTTTCCTCTTTCCAACAGACGACCCTACGATCTTTTACTGTGAGTAACAACTTTTATATTTAACCAAACCATCGAAGCCAAACAAACTCTGACAACTGAAACCTTATCCTCTGTCTATTGTTTTCTCTCTTTGGTTCGTCTTCATGGCCCTCCTTGCCAGATCCCACTGGTATGTATGTGGTCTGTGCATACACTGCTGTTGTAATTAATTACTGTTATTCATTTTTTTCATTCCTTTTTTGCTTATAGATTCACCACCTCTGGATGACAGTGTTGCTGTAAGTGTTGTGTTATGATGGTTCAATGCTCTTTGGCATGGCATTTGGGCTTTTATTTTGGAAAAACAGATGTGCTCTACAGAAAAGGTCCAAATTGAATTCTACTACCATTTCAGATGTCACGATTATTTTCATTTTTTTAGTTCTTTATAGTCTAGTTCTTTATAGTGGCGCTTTGGCCCAGAGACAATGGACGCTTTGGCCCAGAGGTCAGTGTCTCTGTCATTGGTGTGGATTGGGTGGGGTCATAGAGACTGCTGCCCCCGTGACCCGGTAGTGGATAAGTGGATGAAAATGGATGGATGGATGGATGGATGGATGGATGGATGGATGGATGGATGGATAGTTCTTTATAGTCATTTCAGACCTCCACAGTCTAATCTATCTAAAGAGATTTCTGGGTATTTATTTTTTTAAAAGGTGGGGTTACACCGATTTCTCTTTAACTTTCACTGGATTAGAGCCAACAACCTTAACAACATAACACACTAAACCTGTCATCTTTCTTCCCAGGTGTACGTAGTCGTTGGAATCGCAGGAGTTGCCTTGACTGGCTGCGTGCTAATGGTTATCGTCCTGAAATATGGAAGAAATTCAAAGTTTGGTATCAAAGGTAAGATGGTGTTTATGGTGTTGAATTTCAGGCCAAAGTTCGGCTTTTGTATAAACTGAATCCATGATACTGTTTAGAAAGGTTTTGGGTCAGAGCGGGCTTCATGGTGAAGAACCAAGAAACCAAAAAGTAATAAAGAGTAATACTGCAGTGTATGAAGTGTTAAGTACTACAGCTAAACAATGTTAATGCAACACAACATGTTTACTAGGGTTTCTACTACGACTCTTTCATGTCCGATACCAATTGCTGGCCGTTGCTGAGTGGATATTGTCACCCAAAGTTAAGATGAGTATTTGAGCTTAGGTATCAGATCGGACGGGTTGTATTTTTTTTTTTTTTTTTGGACCAGGGCCTAACGTGAGTATCAGATCAAGCCATTCAGACTCTGGTAATGTATAATGTATAAATGTATAATCAGTAATCAACCGTACTAAAAAAAACCTCTAAAGACGATGAAATGTAGGTCACATAACCCCTGAGAGGGGCCATAGAGACGACACTAATGAATGAAAATCAAGTTTTAAATTGCCTTTTCCCCAGCATGCATTGCTCCGGTGTAAATATCACTATAGGAATGTTTTCTCCACTTTGGGCTGAAGTCATGCTTTAAAGTTAACTCAGCTTGACATTTGTCATTATCAGCTGCTATCTTTTCCTCATTACACAATTACTCCTTCGATCAAATTATACACTTTATGTTATTATACAGGCACGCAATCTCATTTCTGCCTCCAACCGGGAACCTGCTCCTCCTTCTTGACATCACCCTTCACTTGTTCCCTCACCTCTTCCTGCCTTGTCTTGTTTTTCCTTTCCTTCCCACATCCTCCTCCTTCTCACTTTCTTCCCTAGGCTCCTCCTCGGTCATCAGCAATGATGATGACTCCGCCAGCCCTCTTCATCACGTCTCCAATGGCAACAACACCCCGTCGTCCTCTGAGATGGGTCCAGACGCAGTGATCATTGGGATGACAAAGATTCCTGTCATTGAGAACCCGCAGTACTTCCGTAACATAGGCAGCATTCTGGAATCCAACACCCGTGAGTTACCACCTCCCTCAACAAATGCCCGGTAACTCTGACCTTTTCTGATAAATCCATGCGCGGATCACTGCTGGACGCCAGATTTATTGTCAACATCCGGCTGCATTGTGTTAGCGACTCCTGCTCCAGGAGAGAAGCAGGGTAGCGGACGTACAAATATAATGTTCAGAAACTCAAGCCTGTCTGATAATGGCCCAGAGCCGCGGGTTGAACCTACATTTTTATTCTTTTTTTTTTTTTTTTTGCCATTTGGCATTGATTGAAAAACAATCGCTACTATTTTTGATCTTAGCTTTAATAATTTATCAAGCAAAAAATAATAACATTTTGCTGATTCCAAACGTATGGATTTTTTACTACTGTAACAGATTTGCTCCTAATCCATGAGCTATTTAAAATCCTTATATTTTTAGAGTAATGATGATCACCCGAAAGAAAAAAAAAATGACCAAAGCCACCGGGTTGGAAAAGCGCAGTGGTTTCGGAAGTAGCTGCGTATTAATAGACGCCTGTGGGAAAATAAGGAAGATACTTAGTCAATGTTTACCATCAATAAACCTTTCCCTGTGGAGGGAATGGTCTCAGTTACTAGTTTCTGGTCTTCTTCAATTTAACACAATGTCAATTTTGTAATATGATCACATGGACAAGGAGATTTATAAACTTCCACATGGATTTACTGCTGTTTTGGTGATAATTTGTAAAATTGATATAAGGTTTAGATGACACTGTATTGGTCAAACTGTTGGTCAGAAACAAATGAAAACTCAAAGTCCATCATAGGGTCACATGTAAAGACAAACATTCATTCACTCACACTCGTTAATTAAAAGTGTCCCATTAACCTAATGATAATCTTTGAGGATGAGTCAGAGAACCATGAGACAAACACAGAAGGAGAACATTTATAAAGACCACTGTACCATTTTCACACTGGAGCTGAGTGTGGTTTTTGCTATACAGCAAAACACAATGCAAAGTGAATTAGCTCATTTGGGTGCAAACCTACGCAAATGCTACGCTGGGCACACGACAACGTGTGTCAGTTTAGCAAACACGCAAAATGGACACACTCTCATCACCCTCTGAATGTCAACAAAATGAGAATCTCGTGTATATTTGCTGCACTTTAACGGGATCGGATACTGTATCCACTAATACGGGAGTTACCTCGGTCAACAACAACAGTCCAGTGTTCCTCAGACTGCAGTTGAAGACCCAAGGTCTTTGTCCTAACAGTGTCGGTGTGACTGTGTCCGTGTCTGGTTCTGGTTCCCTGCAGTCGTCCAACACATCAAGAGGCACAACATCGTCCTGAAGCGGGAGCTGGGAGAGGGAGCCTTCGGGAAGGTCTTTCTTGCTGAGTGCTACAACCTGACACCGGACCAAGAGAAGATACATGTGGCAGTCAAGGTACCGTCCAGGAAGCTGCCCCCTCCCACCCCCAGAGAAATCAATATGACTGGCTGCGTTTAGATGGAGCTCCTTAACGTTCGACTTTGTCTTTGTCTTTGGTTTCAGACTCTGAAGGAGGCCAGCGAGAGCGGCCGAGCTGACTTCTACAGAGAGGCGGAGCTCCTCACCAACCTCCAGCACCAACACATCGTCACCTTCTACGGCGTGTGTGTCGACAGCGACCCGTTCATTATGGTGTTCGAGTACATGAAGCACGGCGACCTCAACAAGTTTCTCAGGTACGAGGCATCTGCCAATAACCGCACTGATATACGGGCAGGTATATGGTCAAAAAGTTTTAAGACAATTAAAAAACAATGTATGACAACATCATTTATTTTAAGAAGAATTGCTTTCTTGTAGAATCCAGGGAATGTCCTTCACAGCAGCTCACAACCTGCTACTCTGCTGTGGTCCAGATCAAAACTTGCCGCAAAGTTTCAATAATTTTAACAAGGTTTACTTCTGAATTCTAAATGCTTCAAAAAATCAAAAAAAAGGTTTACTTCTGAATTCTAAATGCTTAATTTTTTCGATTGAAAGCCTGATTAAAAACACGCGACAGATCGCAAATTGAAAGAGATATAAAACTCTAAAGCTGACGTAGACTCCTGAGAGACGTAAATAACATGTTCCTGTTATTAAAATTAGACACATTTTAAAATTAAAACGTCTGACTTGGTAGGATTTACAGTAAGATTGGTACGATTATGTTTGAATTTTACTTTGAAATGACACAAATGTTTATCTAGATAACATACCTATCTAAAAAGCTTCACTGTATTTGCTAAGCTAACTCGTCTTTATGCACTAAGCTAACCTTGATATTACGCTGTGTGAAATGAATGAATTTTATGGTGTTTATGTATAGTTTTTATTTAAATATTTATTTAAAAAACATTTATTTAATTCACTTATCATTTATTTCCCTAACAACACTGAGTGGTTCTATGGCTGCTGTTGGAACTTTAGAACTAAGGTGGGATTGCGCTACACTCTTCTCGATCTGAAATTTGAAATTGTGCTAGTTTTCTGGAACGTTCCATTACAAATGGGCCACAGCAAGAACACGACGTTGAACCCCACAGATTAGAATATTAAATGAATGAGACGTTCTCATGAGAAAACCTGTTTTTACCTAAAATCATTCGATTGTTACAGAGGGTGTTTTATCTTCACTGAACTCATGTTTCTCCGTGCAGGTCACATGGTCCTGATGCTGTGCTAATGGCAGACGGTCAACACAGTATCCTGGTGGAGTTGACCCAGTCACAGATGCTACACATTGCCCAACAGATTGCTGCTGGAATGGTCTACCTGGGCTCCCAGCACTTTGTCCACAGAGACTTGGCCACCAGAAACTGCTTAGTGGGAGACAACCTGACGGTCAAGATAGGAGACTTTGGCATGTCCAGAGACGTTTACAGCTCGGACTATTACAGAGTGAGTACCATGTTTATACTACACTTTACACTTTCATCTTTTTAAATCACTTCTTTGACTCTACGTTAATCAGATACGTCATGACATCATACTTTTACTTTTATCATGTTATGATGAGTAGCCAGATTAGTACACAAAGTGATACTTATTTTTCAGCACCAGCTCAGATATTTTTTTTGTGCTGAACTTTATTTGAACTTCATTTATATTCATGAAAGAGAAAGAATACAGTTGTTAAAAAAATAATTAGTTGGAAAACGTTTTTATCAATTATTATACATTCCGGGCGACCCCATTTAAATCTCAGGTGACTTCACATTGGGTTCGCAACCCCAAGCCTTTTGACACGCGGGCCACAATGGGTCCTAAAATTGAACAGGGGGACCGGGATTAGGAGCAGATAGATGGAGCATTCATATGAACTAAGATAAATTACATGTAGTCATACAAAAAGGCTAAAAGGCCAAAATGCTTTTAGACTTTTCTGTATTATTTAGTGGGGAAATGCTAACATTGAAGGGAAAAGGCCGAAGTAAAATAATAATACAAATAAATATTATATAATTTGGACAAGTTTGGCGGGCCAGATTAAAAAGCCAAAAGGCCACATCTGGGCCCCAGCCCGTAGTTTGCCCATGCCTGCTCTAATCCATCTCTAATTTTTAACTACATCTTCTCTGTACTAGCAGAATGTCCCCAAGAGAACAACAGTATTTTTTTTTAAAAAAGACACACACACGAACACACAAATATATATGTATATATGTTAACATATATATATATATACATATAAATATATATGTGTATATATACATACTCAATGAAAGAGCTTCGTAGCTGCAGAAAATAAATACCCGAGCTACTTTATCTGCTTAGTTCAATTTAAATGCAAATACTACAATCTGCATAAAATGGTGATTTCCATAATAAGGAGGGGCAGCAGTGTGAAAACGCTCGGTCAGACTTCTGTGTCCCAACAGTTAATGTGCCTCTCAGAGCCGCACTAATATTAAAACGTCCTCATATTAAAAGGTTGTGGAACACGCTGCTGTTTTACGGCGCATGTTATGATCCGCTGCAGGTTGTGGGGAAATTAAACCTCGTTGCAGTTGAATTTACGCTACACTAGGCTCCGTGTCTCAGCTTGAGTCATGCAGTGCCCTCTGCTGGCCGAAGTGGATAACGGACATAAAAGGCATACAGTTAAATCAGAAAATGAACGAGACACGAATCGTTTATCTGCATCACTAACACATGAGTGAACGTCCACGTCACTGTCTGCTGTCTGTTCCTGATGCTGATTGGCTCACATGTTCGATCAGGTTTGTGGTGAATAATGATGACATCACATTGGAATACATAACACTTTTTAAATTACAGAGTTTTTGTTTATATAAAAATATTTTTTTCATCTCTTTCTTTTTTGAGCTCTTTCTGTGCGATATTGACTTTATTATGGTCAAACATTATACACCGTGTTTTATATTACAAAATAATGACACAAGACGCCCCAGGTTTCCTGGAGGTTGACAGCTGCAGGCTAACGTACACAGATTACATGAAATATTCCAGAATATTTTTCAGTCTCTTTGACCCAATTGTTGATTTTAAGGTGTATTTCTCTATTTAGACCAGGCATGTGCAAACTAAGGCCCGGGGGCCAGATGCGGCCCATTCAGCTTTTTAATCCAGCTGCCAAACTTTTCCAAATTATATCATTGTCATTATACTTCTGCCTTTCCCTGCAATACCCACATTTCCCCATTAGATAGTGTAGAGAATAATAAAAGCATTTTACCATTTTAGCCTTTATGCATGACTTTTACATGTCATTTATCTTAGTTTACACGAACGCTCCATCGGTCTTCTCCTGACCCGCCCCCCCGTTCAATTTTAGGACAATTGTGGCCTGCGACTCAAAAAGTTTGGCCACGCCTGGTTTAGACGAAAGGCATTGGTTACTTTAGATAAAAAGAAAATCCCTTTCTTCTCTCTACTTCTCTCTCTCTCCCTCCCCCACTCTCTGCAGGTGGGCGGTCACACGATGCTGCCCATCCGCTGGATGCCTCCAGAGAGCATCATGTACCGGCGGTTCACCACAGAGAGTGACGTGTGGAGCCTGGGAGTGGTGCTGTGGGAGATCTTCACCTACGGCAAACAGCCCTGGTACCAGGTCTCCAACAACGAGGTCAGAGTCTGAGCACGGACAGAAACTGAAACTAAGACGATGACGGAGACGTCAAATATCAAGCACAAAGTTGTCTTTTTTTTTTGTCACGGAGATTTCAATACATTTTGTTGTTAATTGGTGAGATTTAAATTTTGAACCTCAGAGTTCTGTTTATTTTCAGTTCAAAAACAGAAATGTGGAGAGTCATTTAAAACCTTTGGTCTTTTATTAACAAATGAGAAAAAAAAATCAGTCCTGGAACTTACTAAACAAACTACAGTGTCTGTCCAACCAGGCAGTCATGTCCATGGATCTGATAGGACAGACAAATGGACATGACTGTCTGTCCAATCAGACAGAACGGATGGACCACATGTTCTGGTCACACTGTTTTACAGACTGACCAGATGATTCTTCTTCTGTTGATTCAACTAGCAGACTCCCATTTATTGCGATTGGATCTAACCTTAAGAAGTCCCGCCTTCTAGCCAACGCACACAGCTCTTACTTCAGCATTGATTGGCTGTCGCTTCTCTTCTTCTTTCTTTTCTGGTTTCTATTAGCTGACCAACGTGTCCATCATCAGTCATTTAACCGCCAATAACTATCTGTCATTTTCTTTGAGTTGAATCATCCAATGTTCGAGCAGTAATGAAAAAACCTGAACAACATTTGAACTCCCACAGTCTGACATCTGCCTCCCGTCTCTCCCTCGCCTCCTGCAGGTGATCGATTGCATTACCCAGGGTCATGTACTACAGCGACCCCGCACCTGCCCTAAAGAGGTCTATGATCTGATGCTGGGCTGCTGGCAGAGGGAGCCCTACATGAGGCTGAACATCAAGGAGATCCACAGCATGCTCCAGAGCCTGGCCAAGGCCTCGCCCGTCTACCTGGACATCCTGGGCTGACGCGGCGGCGTCTGCGTTTGTGCTTCGCGTGCATGTGTGTGCGAGCTGTGGCCTCGTGAGTTTGTCTGTGTGTGTTGGATGGAGAGGAGGACAGAAGCTAATGTGGCTAACGTGTGGGTGCGTCTCTGTACAGTACTAGCTGTAAATGTTCCTGTAAATGATCTCGCCCTCGCACTAGTCCCGTTGAGTTTCGCCTTAAATCTTTAGGTTCTTCTGCACACGTCCATACGACACGTGAGGCCATTCAACAGTGACGACGTTAGCAGCGTAAGCGACGGTTAAACAGAGCTAATGTGTCCTCTCTCAGCCGTGTCTCACAGGGAATTACATCCTGCAGGAACGACATGTTTAAAGTCGGAGCTAAAGCTTTTTCCTCTGATACACATTTATAAAAAAAATATTCGGAACATTACGACATGCTCACGATCGTCTGGAAACTTCTCTCTGTCCTTTAGCGGGTAGATCTGAGGTCACCACAGTGGAACCTCTCACACCATCTCCATGTTTCCTCCTGAACTCCACAGTAGTAGTATACACAGTAGTGATGGGTAATACCACATCTGTTTTGATTTGATACTATATCGATGACGTTTTTGGCATTTTTCTTACCCCAGTAAAACACATTTCAAATACTGACCAACTTTGATATGTATTTCCCATTACATATTAGTCCTGAATTACATAATAACATGATTTTACACAGTGTAACCTGAATAGTTTCATTGCTAGCATTCAGGAACAAAGATTTTTTTTCATATCTTGGATCAATTTCCTGATCATAAAGTTTAAAATTCTGAAAATCAAGTATCAAATATCTGGTGTAGTCAGTTACTTTTTTATTATTATTCAGTATCGATACTTTACGAGAGTAAGCGATATACTCAATACGTACTAGTACCAATACATCCAGTATCAATATACCGATACCACCACTCGTTGCGCCCATCACTTTATCCACTCACGTTCAACTCATGTTAAACTTCAGTTTAGTTAAATGCTCAGCTCTGATTGGCTCATTTCTAATCCTGTCCATTGTGGTCGCTCATGGTGAAAATCTCAGCGTCACATTCACACGCGTCAACCCCCCTCGTCTCCATCTCCTCCATGCACTAAATCTTATATCACAGAATTAACCGAGGGATTTGAACCCGTCACCCTCTGTCACCAAACAATTCGTCTTCATCTCTGTTAATATTCATGTTTTAGAAAGCCTAAAAAACTGTACGGACATTTTCTTCAGCGCTGCTTTTGTAAACTTTTCCTGAGTTGTATCTAAAGCACAGAGCAGGAGGACATGATGGTGAGGGGGGAGTGAGGTGGGAGGGGGGAGACCAGCACAGGTTGTTTTTCTACGTAGGGGGGAGTGAGGGAGGGGAGAGACCAGCACAGGTTGTTTTTCTACGTATTTATTGTTTCCTCACCAGCAATGCCGTGTCTGTTGTTTGGTGGCCCATATCTGTCTGTGAATGTGTGTGTGTGTGTGTGTGTGTGTGAGTTGTTCATGCTTTGATGACAAAAAACAACGTTGCTGTGGTTTGATCTGCACCAGGAGTCACCAACCTGTCTGCTGTGGGTTTCATTCATTTACATTTGGAGTTCAGGTCTGTCCTCAACACGGTGGACCAACAGTGGGCAGTTAAAGGGTCAGTTTCAGGGTTCTGATTGGTCTTTCAGTGTCTCAGGAGGACTTTATTTATTTATGTATTTATTTTCAGCGATATGGTGTCTGATAAAGATTCTTACTCTGGGCAGTAGTGGACAAATATTTACAAAATACAGGAAGTAATTAGAGAAACAGATTCTTTTTTTTAGTGCACTGTAAAAAATGAAATATTTGATTTATCCAGTTTTACTAGTCTTAAGAGACTGGCGCCCCTTCTCAAAGCTATGGTGAACTTCAAGTATAACAACAACATAATGTAAAGTGCACTTTGTCTAGTAATTGAACCCCAGACCCAGACCTGCCTACAGTCTCTGAGCTGCACTTCATAATGAACCAAGTATTTGTGGAGCAGCATCTCCGTCCTGCTGAGGGGAGGATTTTTTTTTTTTTTTTCCCCCAACGATCCCACGTCTGCTGTTGTACATAAACCACTGTCCAGCCTGGACGGTGCCGATATCTGTCTATATGAAAAGTAGGATATGTTTAATTGTGTAATGTGTTTCGAGCAGGTATCACGTGAGAAACTGTGACATCTCTTGGAGACGACGTGTTATGGGCCACTGGCAATACAAACCAAGTGTAAATAGGATTTCCTTTGTGCTACATGGTACAATTTCTTTGTGCTTGTTCATGATACCAGTGAGAATACAATCCTCCTTTTGGGCAACTTTTTAATCTTCAGAGGACTTTCTTTCTTTAAAACAATGTGTTTTTTTCCTCTGGAGAAGAAGAAGAAGAAGAAGAAAATAAAATTTAAAAAAATTAAAAAAAAAACAAAAGAAAAAGAAAAATTTGAAATGATCACTTTCCTCTCCACTGTGATGGGGAGCCTACTGAGCAGAGGCCTATCTGCAGGAAGACTATGGACTCACAGGATCCATGATCGCTCCCTGGATGACGAGTGTCCGAGCAGACGTGCGGGGGGGTCAGACGTCGACCCCTGACCTCTGCGCCTCTGACTGACTGTAGCCTATTTTGATCCTCTTTCAGATGAATAACTGTGACTTTGCATCATGAATAGTATATTATTTTGAATGTAACCTAGAAGGGTGGGGGCGGGGGGGCTTTTTTTGAATGTAATCTATCTGCTATAGGGAAAGGGTGAGAGGGGGGGGGTGGGGGTTACTGGGAAGGAATTTTTTTTGTGTGTAAATATTTGGTTTCCTGTGCAGATAATGGGGATTTTACTTACTATGTGAATACAAGGAATGTGTGTGTGTGTAAGGTGAAGCGTGTGCATTTGCACATGCATCTGTATGCAAGTGTGTGACCGTGTGTGTGTGTGTGAGTGTAACCTGCTCTGCTGGCAGATTTAATCCTGCTTCAATCAGCCAGTTCTATCAATCAACTCAATGCTTTGTGCATCATGTGAGTAGCTTATCCACAATTATTGGAAATGTTCCTTGTGATACTGTGCATTTAATAAAGGTGGTATGTCTTACAATATGACTGTGTCACCGTCACTCAGAGTGGTCAGTCTAATGTCAAATATATTACTGACTGGAGTTAAATAGGGTTTTTTGTTTTGTTTTTTTGTATTATTTAACCTGTAGTTAAGCTCTGTATTTGCTGACACTGATCCTGATCATCAATGACTCTCAGTGATTTTCTAGGCCAGTGTTGTTCAAATGTTACAACGTCTACCATCTCCAAAGAAAAACTTGGATCTCAAAGTACCACCAGTGTGACAAACTTTTAAAAATACTGCAGTATTCACCTACTGTGTGGTACTGTATAGATATAGACTAACATACCTAGCCTCGTACCCTAACATTAATCCTAATAATAATCTTCATCCATAACATTTACCTGACGCAAAATTTGGATATTATCCATAATACGTCTTGGAGCTCGAAATACCGACCTCACCAGAGGTCAAATTCAACAGTAGTAGCAGTAGTCTAGAGTAAACAATCAGGAAAACTAATTAAAAGTTACCTTAAAATGTTAATAACATTAGTAGGTTATTAACAAATCAATATTGTGTCCAAATCCATTACATGGAGGCAGTGAGGAGCTAGGCTAGGCTAACGCTGTACAAACTGCTGCACAGAACAGAGGTATCATTGAATTGTTTAACAGTTTTGTACACATGACCAAATTACCAACTGCATTCTGGTCCAATCATTTTAATTTGATCAAACATTTCAACAGATGATAAATGTTCTACTTTCTGTGTTTACTTTCGTTGGGTTTTCCTTGATACCATCTAAAGTTGTCCAACCGGTTCCTTCGTCTACCAGATCATTTGATCATAAACGGATTAACGCCTCAGGTGCGAGTTGACATTCTGTCACAGCTCCCTCTGGGGGTGGGCTTCCTCAAACCTAACGTGTCATGGGAGATAATCCCCGTGAGTCCTGTTGGTTTCTAACAATAACCTGTGAGGAGTGACAAAGACAGCTGCCTCGGCACGCAGGAACCACCAGTGGCAACAACTGTCTTCACTGATCTGGGAACAGTGTGTTGAGCAACTCTGACGTATTGAGTTTTATCTTAAAAACAACACCTGTTGTCATGCAGTATACGTTGTAACCGTCACTGTGGAGGTTTGTTTAAAGTAAACTGGGTTTGGAACAGTTTAACTGAAGGATTGCTGAGTTTGGAACAGTTTAACTGAAGGATTGAAATTTTTTTCCTAAATATTTCAATTAAATAATATACATCTAAATAAAAATAAATACATTTGTACTATATTGATTCCATATTTGGGAAATTGTTGTGTTAGCAACACATATGCTGTTAACAGTTTGCCCCTAGCAAGCGCCAATCATGTGGTTCCTCTTGGAATCTAACCAGGACCCTCTGCTCTCTGCTTCCGAGGCAGGCGTGCTAACCGCTACACTATGGAACCGACAACTTAAAAAAAACAAACCAAAACAACATATTTTGTTTTGCGTCTCACCTTAAAAGTCTATTTGGTATTTAAAAAAACCAAACCAAAACAACACTTTTTGTTTTGCGTCTCACCTTAAAAGTCTTTCTTGGCTCTCTGGCTTGTTTTCATGCCAATGTGTCCCTGGGCTATAAACTATAACCTGGTACTGATCCTATAAAAAGAAAAGGTAAAGCTTAGTACTTTTTCAAAATATGAACAGATTGAAAAAAAATCAACAAAAAAAACAAAGGGAAGAAGCATTTGTTTTAGACAGGTACCAAACTGATGTGGTTGAAATCCAGCTCTAAACCATTACAGAGCCTCTCCTTGTTGGTGCCAAAACGTCCACAAAACCTTTGTTTAACTATCAGACCACCCTTTCTGTAAGTCGAAAAAATGTTATTTCCTGCTGCAGCCCTTCTAGATTTCAGATTGGAATTAGGATTAAGATTAAATGACCTCAGATGCCCTTTCTAAGAATCTGTAGTATTTTTTTTATCAGTCTCAAATGAGGCTTTTTAAAAAAAGTTTTCTTTAAATTGATTTGTTTTTTAACCCTCCAACCTCATGTTCGATCACCCACTTCTGTATTTTGTTTAAAATGTTTTGAAGTACCTTCACTGTACACTATGCAGTATTTTACACATCCACTACTTCTATCAAACGGTTGATCAAGTCACTTCAGTTGAAATGTGTTTGAGAAACAAAGTTCCATCGTTGGTCTGACCGCGGCCGAGCAAACATGTAGAGCGAGAATAAAGTGCAAAAACTGTGACCGTGTCTTGGTTTCATCAAAAGCTGTGTGCAGTTTATATTTATTGTATTCTAAATTTACATTTTTTTTTCTCTTTTAAAAAAAATGTCTGCCCATGTCTCAGAACCATTATGAAAGTTAACGCACAAATTCAATATACATCTCATTGTATTTTACAGAGAGGGTAAAAGTATAGGCATGAAGGTGGCATGATTCATATCAGAAGAGTCAGAATAAATAGAAAGTGCTAACTTTAGCAGAAAAAAACCCAAGAAACAAACAAACCAAGAAAAAAAACAAAACAAAACAAAACAGAAAACAGAGGGATGTTTTGTAAAAACCAAACGCGAGATGAAAACATCTCAACCCAACAAAGAGAAATCATCGTGGCACGTGGCCGGGTCGGACAGTGTACACAAGCAGATTGACGTTGAGAGAAGTGTGTGAAAGAAGAATGGACAGATGGACATCCAGACTTATCTATAAATTATCAAGTATACGGCATCTAAACAGCTTATCACTAAATATTAACACCTAAGAAAACTTCAAAAGGCAAGGTCTCGTTTTTTTTTTTCTTCTTCTTCTAATGCATGTAGTCGTCGTTCGCAGCAGCCTTCGACATTTTCAGACATTCGTCACAGAGAAAAGGCAAATCTGGAGCTCACTCGGTCACACACACACTCTCTCTCTCTCTCACACACACACACACACACACACACTGCAGTAGGCAATAATGGCTCTACTGCAAGGTCCGATTCGGTGCGATTTCTTCATTAAATACAGACTCGTTCAAAGGAAAAAAAACAAACAGTCCACTGTTTGGAGTTAAATTTCTGCTCACCGCTGTGAACGGACGCCTTTTTCCACGTTCGTAGTAAGCATTTAAAAACAGTTGAAACCTTTGGGATACTTAAACAAAATGTTTTTAATGACAAGGTCATTAAATGTCATGCACGCTGCAAATAACTGCATGCAGTAGTTATGGTAACCCATCCAAGCACTTTTTATTTATTAATAGTCATTAACACACACAGCAGCTTGATCAGAGGAGCCTACGCTCTCTTGACTTTGAATGTGGACTTCTGTTTTTTTTTTTTTTTTAATAATGGAGAGCTGTTTGCATGTCACAGGAAGCAAAGGTCTGCCACAGCTGCCTGTAACATTTACCTGACAGAGAAAAGAAACGTTAGGTGGTTTGATTATCAACTTCATATATATATATATTTTGTTTTTAATATATATAATATTTATATATTTGTCTCCTCTCGCTCACACACTCGGTTGCTATTGCTCACTCGTACATTTATCCCACTTGCTCTCATTTATTCTTGTTTACATTGTAACAAAAATGGTGACAGGCCTGAAATTACAATCACCAAAAACAAACTCAGAAAAATAGAAGGAGAGAAGGAGCAGGAGGAGGAGGAGGAGGAGGACGAGGAGGAGGAGGGGGGAGGACAGAGAGATAGGGTGGGTGATGGAGAGAGAGAGAGAGAGAGAGAGAAAGAGAGAGAGAAAGATTTGTGTGAGGGAACCGCCGCTGCTCGCTGCCCATCACTGACAGTTGCAGCAGAGTGGACACAGTCTGCTTGATGCTCGGACATCAAAGAGGAGGCGGCGGAGGCTCCTTCCTCGTGGAGCTGCTCTCTCTGAGCTGGAGGTTCTCCAACGCCACATCTAAAGGCATGATATCCACGCAGCCCATGGCTCCGAAGTCGGCGAAGTCCCTGCGCTCTTCCTCGTCGGAGGAGGAGCTCTCTTCGCGCATCAGCGTGGACAGAAGAAGCTCCTGGACGAACAGGCTGCGGTCGGCGCGCTCGCCTTCTAGGAACTGCCGCTCTGCTTCAGACATCTTAGGTTCGTTCAACCTGAGGAGGAGGAGGAGGAGGAGATTAATTAAAAAAAAAAAAAATCTAACTAAAAGGCTTTGGTTCAATTTTACAGAGCAGACGTCAACAAACAGATGATCTGGTTGTTTTAACTAATGGAGTTGGAAACATTTCACAACATTAAAAAATAATTAACTTCTATATCAGTGTCACAGGTTATAAAGAGTTGATGGAACGTCTGTCATCCCCTCATATTTTACCACTAAATCTTATACAGGGTTCTGAGCCAATCACAGCAGAGCGAGGGCGGGCTTCACCCTGGGGGGGGGGTAAACAACCATTTGCACTTTTTATTTTGACCTCTGGTCAATTCAGAGTGAACAACGGACCTGGTCCAGTATGTTACTGAACTGTGAGAGAAAACCAGTGAACACACAGTAACAGACACACACAGTAACAGACACACACAGTAACAGACACAGTCCAACAACAGATCAAACTGATGATCTTCTTGATACGTGGTGAAAGCTCTAACCACCCCGGACGTTTCTGAGTGTAAACATGTACGCATAGAAAACACAACCAGAGGGTGGCAGCAACGCCATCCATCAACGGCAGCAGTGAGACATGATGGTCAAGACAAGCTAGTCCAGCAGAGGCTTTCTGCGATCGATCAATCAATCAATTTAGATCATTTTTTCTTTTTTTTTTCCAGTTAGCAGGTTGATTCTGACAGTCCTAGGAGACAGAACTGCACCATCATCCTGCTTCAGGGTAAATGAGTTGTTAAATCCAACATGTGAAGAACAGTTCAACACAGATCCTGCAAAAATATTTAGTGGAAACAATAAAACATCCTATACGTCTTCTTACTGAAGGACAGCTCTACCTCTGCCACATTTCTTTGCAACACACCGTTGCTCCACGAGCCTTTTTTGAAATCTCATTTTGCTGTGTGCAATATCATCCGATAAATGTGTAAATGAATCACCTGTAGAACTTGCAGAGCATCAGCTGGTGCTCTTTCTCTTTCTCCACACATACAGTATCTTTCTCCTTCTCCTTGGCCTTCTGCCTCTGCCTCTCTTTTGTTTTTCCTTTCTCTGCCGGTTCCATATCAGACAGTAGCTCTATCTCGTTCAGTAATTTTGTTGATTTGAATTTCTTCCCCAGTGGGTTTCCCCCACCAACGCTGGACTGAATTAATTCTGCTTTTGTCGGCTCAACGTCGTTTTTTCTTCTTTCCTCAGATATATATTGTTCCATTTGTACGAAGGAAAGACAATCTCTGTGAATAACCCAGCTGCCTAGTTAATCCTGAGCTGCAGTACAAACGCGATGCCGTTTTACAGACACATCCTGATGCAGGAGAATCATCTCATTGTTCATTTCTACACCACGAAACCACTCAAAGAACCACGAGACGCTCTCGACGCCAAAGATAAATAAATAAACAGAATGACTGGTGAAACAAATGGTGACGTTTAAAACAAGGAAGTCTGTTTACGTTTGCCAGAGTAAAGGTAGATTCAAAGAGTGATGCAACGTCTGGTACGGAAGAGCAGTAAAAAGAAATCTTTGATCCTTTGAAGTGCAAAAATAAAAAGCTTAGGCTGTGTTCTTAGAAGCAATCAGCCAACCAGAGTCTTCCCACTGTTAGAGAATGACAAGAAGGATTTTTTTAGAAAGAACACAGAAAAAAAAAAAAAGTTCTGTCCCGTCACCTTTGTGTAAAACAGTTCCCAGAACTTGACTAGTCAGGCACTGGTACAGACGTTGCTTATGAAAACAGACCAACGACGACACTGTGGAGGGTTGGACCATTAATCCACTGTGAGGCTAAGCTAACGACATGAGCACGATTCTGGTGCTTTTGAAATGTATTGCTTTACTGCACTGCTGACCAATCGCTGCATTTAACACAATTGTGTGCGGTGATAGTGAACACGTTCCATAAACCTGTCGGAACTCTGGTTGAAATTTTCCGATGCAGACTTTGCATCTTGTCTTATGAGTTGACAGTGGTGAATATTTAAAAAAAAAAAATTTTAAGGAAAAAAAAAAAACTTGAATGTTTTCGTGAGTGACCTTTTGTGTTACAGAATGAAGCAGGTAACAAAAGAAAATTCCAACAATAGCAGAAAACAGCTTCATCAAGTTGCTACAGCCCAGGAAGAGAAGTGCTGCACAAGAACACGGCTCTGACACTTAGAAAATATGATAACATGCAGACATGCTGCTGTGCCGTTTGTCACCTGTAGGTTGTGTCATCGATGCCTAAAGCTTTGGGGGGGGGTTTGACAGATTTTTTGGGGGCATTTTTTTTTTACAAGACCACACTCACCGTGCTAATAGGAACTGGGAGCTGTGGGACGAGGACTGGGGGTTGCTTTCACCCAGGGTGGCAGTGTTGGCAGTTGCTGTATTGGGTGGGGGGATGGCGTTGCCGCTGTTGCCCGGGTTGTTGCTGCGCCGCGTCCCGTGACGACCCGCCTCCACCGGCTGCCTCGCCGCCTGAGCCTGCTGCCGCTCCAACTGCAGTTGCATCTGAAGCTGCTGCAGTTGAGAGGCTGAAGGTCCCGAAGAGTTTATCTGCCCCCCCGCTGCACGCCGCACACCCGACAGCTGAGACAACAGCTCTGCAAGAAACACAACAGGGTATTGGAACGTTTAGACAAATCAGAAGAAGGGACTGATCTGTGAACAGGTTTGAAGAACGTGAGAAACAGTTTGGTTTTTTTTTTTAAACCGATGGATATTGGCCAGATGTTTGTACTTGTATATAGTTTTACTTCAGTTACACAAGCTGCATACCAGAGCCTTAACAGATAACTGTAGTTTACTGTACTCCTGTGGAATGGTACAAAATGAAATCCAATACAAATACTAAAGAACAATATAGAATATAAAAAACATGTCTATATATTTACAAAAGTCACAGTTCATACTGTATAAGAAAACAAAATAAAATTACTTTTTCTGATCTAACACTGTGTACACAATGATTCATGGAACAACTGGTAAAGCAGCACAGAAACGACAAAGATTAAAAAAAACAACTCGTTTCACGGTCTTCATCATTAGGTTTCTAATGACGCTTAAAACACTGGGAATGAATTTTACCCAGTTGTTAACTCAGGTTACAAAACTATTTTTATTTTTACCAGACAACTGAGAATTTCCACTTCAGCCACAGAAATGTTCAATGCTTTTAAATATTTGGAGAACAAAGGGAGCGGCATCGATGTGAAACACTGTGACAGGAATGTTGGGAGGATTCAATCAGTCTAGACCTGGGAGTTCTGTGAGGGCGGAAAGAACTGAGTAGAACTGTAGGACATGGAATAAAAACTGTGGAGTGAGTGAAACTCTGTGAACGGCTGCAATCACGTCGTCAGGCAAAACAAGTACTACCTCTGAGGAACGCCAAGTAAAATAATGTGTTTCCCGAAAAAGAGCAAGTGTTTACAGAAAGGCTGTGGTGAAAAATCCTCGATTTATACAAAAGCTTCTCTTTTTTACTCAAAGAATTTGGGGGAATATAAGAGTAATTGAAAAAGTTCTATGAAAGATGTTTCATTTTCAAAGGTGAAACAAACACATGAAAAAAGCTCGTGTCTCAACTTCGACAAGTTTTATCTTGGTTGTCAAAACACTTTTTACACACTGCCGAAAAAAAAAATGTTTTCATTTCACAGAAGCAGCTAACAATATTTTTAATCAATTTGTATTTATATATATTTTTATATATTTGTTTGTGTGTGTATGTGGGGCGGACTGTCCTGTACGACAGGGGTCTTGTGGGTAATGACGACTCATCTCACCTGCGATAGGGTCCATTGCTTCTCTGTTACTGGGAGTATAACTTGAACTTTGTGAGGAGGAAGATGAAAGTCCACCTGTGGAGCCGCTAGTAAAGTGCATATTTGTGCGTCGTGCTCTGGGTCCACCCAGTCCTCGCCCAGGGTGGAACATCCTACGTACGTGTCGAACACTGCTGGACTCATCGTGAACAAAAGCCAGTTAAGAAAAACAAAATGTAGTCATGTGACACATAATAAATCTGTTTTTTTTCTCCACGATTCAAATGATATGTGCACTCCAGCAGAGAGACACAGGAAGGATATTAAATCTCTTGGTGCTCTGTGTTCAAGTGTGAGGTGAGCTGTAAAGTCATCTGTGACATGGTTTGGGTCTCCTCCGGGCAAGGCAGCACAAATGGGACAAATCTGAAGAGGGGACAGAAAGAAGACAACACACAACACACACACAGTCATTTTAATGACCACCAAACACTGCTTAAATAATGAAAAAGTTTAAGACAAATAAATGATCTAAAATGTTAGACGGACAAACAGGTTGATTTTGTTCAACCACCGTCTGAGTGACAAGTGTTCACTGCTGCCAGACGGTCTTTGAATGGGCCTTCAGGTCCTTGAACAGTCCTGACCAGTCCAGATGAACTCCTGGACCGATTATGAACGTTCTTATAATAAGGATTCTGCTAAAAACAACATCAGTTGCCACAGTGTACACCCAGTGTTGACGGGCTGTCTGTGATTCTAGTGTTGAATGGTTGCCACAATATAATAGGAAAAAAGCCGGACATCGTCATTAGTTTTTAAAAATATGCTACAATTATTAAATCAATAGTTACATTTCTTGTTAAAGGATCAGCCTTGTAATCGAAGATTCAATCCAGGTGAATGTAGAGATTAGAGTTAATAAGTTTTTTTTTTTAGAACAAGTCACAATCTAATTCAATATTTCTTCACCATCAAACATCACTCATTTAACAGGAGGAGTTGGCAGCGCTGTGAAAGTGAGCAACACAATGAATGTTCAACTAGTGTTCACTGACCAATAATCATCTCACTGACCCTGCATACTGACCACAGGGCCAACCACAAACCCAAAGGAGAAAATGCCAAACTAAGCAATAAACAAATGAATGAATAAAAAGGTCAAACGGGTCCAAGAGCGGACCAGCACGACAGGACGTCATACAGAGGCAGACCCAACAAAAACCACTGAGCAGGATCACAGTGATACAAGGCAAAAAGTAGAGGTTTGGTCTGTCAACCCCTCCACTTAACCAGGTGGTGGGAGATTGTTTCATGTTAACGAGTCAATGCAGTTCGAGAACAACACACTATCTCAGTTTTCACTCTCCTTCCCTATCTTTAACTAGTAACTATTATAAACCATGATTTAACTGATGTTCTGTGCAGTTCATATTAGTCAATGACAAGTGGCTCTTTTCAAATACCTAATCTGCCAATCAGTGGATGAGCTCTAGAACGTTGATATTTACAAGTTCCAAATATTCAATTCCTTCCTAGTTTTTCTTTGGAAATGTACACAGAAGGCAGCATGGATGACACCGTCTGACCTGTCTGTCTGCCCGTCTCTCTGACTAACATTTTGACCAGTAGTAGTTCATGCTGAGTGAGGAGCATCACACAACAGCTGCAGCACATGGAACTACAGTGAAAAAATCAGGACATTAATAAGCATTACATTTGTGTACAGCAGAATGGGAATAGATTGCTCTAGTTGGTGTTGGTGTATGTGTTTGTGTGTGTGTTTGTGTGTGTGTGTGTGTGTGTTCGGCAGCACAGTCCACTCACCACCTCTGTGGAAGTCTCAGCATGCTCTGAAGTGACGTGCTCCTGTAGGGACGTCTCTGTGTAGCCCATCTTGCCACAGTAAGGACATGTGAACGACTGCGGTTGCTCTACTGAAAAGGTGTCTCCTCCGTAATACAAGTCTGCAGGAAGACGACAGCCATTTTGATTGATACCAGTGACTGAAAACTGCAGCTTCACACAGTCAGTTTTAAACCATGGCACAGGCCGTGACACATTTGTTTTGTTTTTTTTATTTTATTTTCATTGGCTTCTAACCAGGACCTTACCATAGTCTACCCTGGTTAATATACACTGCATGGGGTGCTCTGTGGTGTGTCTCGTTGTCGTGGCTCCGCTCTCGTAGCAGGACGCGCACAGATCGTAGTCGTAGCAGATTAAACACTTGAACCGCCTTCCTCTGAAGTTCCCTTTTAAACACGCATCGCAGCTCACACCTGCAACAGAGACGGGAGAGTCTGTCAGAGTTTAATAATGACAGTGTTAGAAATTCCTTATAGCAGCAAGTCTTGAGCTGCACACCGGTCACACTTATATGAGCGTGTGTTTTGGAGTGGTACCAACCTCAGGAGTGCCCAGCGTTGGAAAAATGTGACATTCCAGTTAGGTTGACAAGTAACTCTGAGGCTCAACTTACACGTCCCGACCATTTGTTACTCATTTATGACATGGTTACAATTTTAGGTGCTTGTTATTGTTACGCCGAACCATGTTTATATTGGGGAGAATTATTCAACTACAAAAAAAGATTTGCTTAGAATTGCAACTATTCAGCATTGAGCAGCTATTCTTTGGCAACAGCGGACCCCAAACTGTTTAAATAGTGCGTTACCAAAAAAATAATTGATAGTTTTAAATATGAACAGAACTACATATAACAAATGCATTTATCACTGTGTGCTTAAGTGAAGCTGCTGGATTAAACCATGCTGATTTTTGGCAATCACTGAAGTCTATGAACAGATGAGGCTGGACTAGTTTAATTCCTTCCATAAAGACATTTTTTAAAGTAAATTTGCACAAAACATACAGAGACTCTTCATTAGATTCCCTTGGATTGGGTAAATTAGCTGTCAATCACTTAATGCATATACAGCAGTTGTGTTTCATCGGACTGCAATTTCTGCCAATGAGATTGTAGTTAGTCTGAACACCACAATAATAAAAATAAAAATCAGCTGACCATCATATCAACTTCAAGTGCAGCTATGGTTTAGACTGACTTAGTAGTTATTTTGTCAACTGCAGCCTTGAAGCTACTGAAACCGGCTTTCCTAGAGGCATAGATCCTTTTGCTCGCCCTGGCAAATGGAACACATCCAAGGTGGTTTTGAACAAAAAGTTTCCTGTAACATTAACAAGGCTTTCTATCCATCTAGTTCCATGTTCTAGAAAAGATAAGAAAGTCTGTAACTCAAACAGTTAGCTAACATGTGGGACAATGTTAAACAAAATCAAATCACAAAAGTTTTCGACATTGTTTAAAGACACACACACAATGATAAAAAGAAATTAGAAAGAGAATAGTTTGTTTTTTCAAACAACTACTCAGATAGTTCGCAATAACATGAACAAACGGTAGAATTTTATTACACTAAAAGCAGAGTTACAGAGTACTAGAAAGGAAAGATGTGGTTATATATTTTCTCTTCACAGAATTACACCTTATCTGACAAATGCTAAAATTACCTAGGCCAGTGCTATGAGTTTCCACTAACTACTCTGACCTTTTCCAAAGGAAACTTTTAACATTCTCTTTGAAAGAAACACTCATTAACTAAAGCCAGAGCTAAAAAAAAACAAAAAACAAAAAAAAAAAACAAAAAGAACAAAAAAACAAAACACACACACATTACTAGATAATATGTAGTCTTGTCCAAATTAACTGATAACTCTAACCTGTGACCCTCCCTCAGGTCAACCTACAGATGAAGCACACAAAGAAAACTGATCTGAGACCTCCGTGGACAATCATGTAAATTCAACTGACTAACAAGTTGCTAGGTATGGTACTAGGTAGGTCTGTTGCTACTTCAAACACAAAATAAGTTGTGTTCCATACTGGGTCTATCCAACTAACCATACATTGGCTACAAACGTACTGCACAGAGCTGAAAATGTTATGGAGAAATAAATGATTATTTCGTTGTAAACTAATGTCATGCAATATCAAAAAAGATCATTTTTTTCATTTCCATCTGCTCTGTAGTTGGACACACCGTGAGCTTGCTAACTCAGTGGTAGGTTTATGAGGAGAGGCCTCAGACTGTCTTCTTGATGACAGTGCATTCGCTAACAGCAGCTGTGTAATTGGACAAACAGGACACTGAAACAACACTGCAGCTGACAGTAGAATTAGCGCAGACACAACAAAAAGACACCGCGAACAACACCTGGGCGTATTGTAGTGTGTATAAGCAACCGAGAGAAAGCTGAAGCAGCATAAAGGTTCTTGATATTAGCCTACAGTAGCCTGTTAGCCGCTAGCCCGGCTATCACAGGGTAACGCAGCGATTAGCAACCGCTAACTGCTAACCTCATCCATGTATCAAAAACACCGGGGGACTCTACACCAATTAATGGGACTCTATTCACACATGTACCGAAAATCTGTATGTGGTCAAATTATGTGATTTGAAACTAGTCGTGAAACGAGGCTTGAGAGCGCCTTAAACAACCATTTCTTGACTTGAATTGGTACTTAGCAGAGCTAGCAGACGCGCTAGCCGCTGTGGGTAAACGTAAGACCAACCAAAGCGCCTCGAAGCCTTTTTCCACTCACCCTCATGTCGGGACATCCTACAGACAGCGTCACGGCCCTTCCTCGGGCTCCCCAGTGCGCTCAACGGTGGTACAGATACACCTTTTGAAGGGCAAAAGTAGAAAATGTTTCACCCTCGTTGCTTCTTCGGCCAAGATGGATCCCCCAGCAGCTTACAGTTTGTTCTGCTTCCCCTCCCTGAGTGTCACTTATCGCTCAGTGCTGTAGCTGAACACCAGGGGACACTGTGGTGCCGCACTTTCGCACAGTCAACCAACTGTGACTTTCATCTCTACACCCTAAGCTTAGTCTGACAGGAATTTGGCTGGGGCTAAATATTAGCTTCCTAAAACTAAACAAAGCAGACCAATAAAATGTAAAACATATTAGATACACTGCTGTTTTTTTACATTACAAAGAGTGAACTGCTTTTATCAAAATCTACACTGATTTAAAAAACAGTGTACAAAACAAAACAAAACTGGGAGAAAATAATTGTCATGCTATTGATTGGGCCGCCTTGATCTAAATGTTACTTTTATCTAATAAAACTGTAATGTATAAAATGCCAGACTCACTCTGCCAGGTTGAACAGAATTGGAAAGTAGCACAAAGGTTAGCTCATTTAAAAAATAAAATAAAACAAGATCCAAAACGTATTTTCCATCAAAAGTCTTTATTTTTGTACATATGATTCATTTAATTTGTGTGCTGATGAGGACGCACAGTCTGACAAACCAGTGCATTATAACAAAGACTTCACAGCAGTGTAAAGGCTGAGGTGGTGCTCACACTTCTTACTTTGTGCCTTGCTTGCATTATTTACACTTCTCAGGCTAAAGAGTGCTAACAATTAGCAGTAACTTCATTCATCTGAATGCAAGTGTACAAAGCGGGAATGGTGACCTCACCCTGGTGCATACGCCTGATGTACAGTCTTCAGATTGCTAACAGTTACACATTCTGTACACACAAACAATACATGTGCTTCATGTTGACAGTGGAGATTAGTGAGGAGCTCTTTTCAAGCTCTTTTCTTCACCGATAATAAACATCCAAGCTCTTTTCTTCACCGATAATAAACGATAGTGAGGACGAAAAAAATCTATGCAGAAACCCATTCTCTTCAAACATACAACATCAGCACACTGTCCAGCTGTGCAACAAAAACCAAGACAGAAAATCAGGAAATATACTCAGGAAATGTACCTTGTACCACACTTGGGCTGTTTGCTGGTGAATAGTAACACAAATGTAGCTCCACATGGAAACTCCGTTTTGCAAATTGACTAATTGAAATCAAAACGGTTAAAGTCCCTGGATTAAAATCACAGTAAATGTGATCAGATTTAAAGCCATGGTAGTGAATACACCAACTCTCCTGTGTACACTTACAACCACACACAGTAATTATTCTCCCCCCTCCCCAAAACAGAACCATATTTACATATTCCCACCCCCAAAACAGAACCATATTTACATATTTGCATCAGCTTTGCGACTGTGATGTACAGACCTTATACTTATCTGTAACATAGGTCAAATATTAATGCTGTTTGAATCTTTGTAGCACCTGAGCCTTGACCTCTGACCTCCTCATCTCTCTCTCTCTCTCTCTCTCTCTCCCCTTAACTTGTTTCTCATTCCAATTCTAATCCTAACTCCAACTAAATCTTGAATCTCAAATAACCTCTAACTCAATGTGGATGTGGACAAAATGTCTCCACAAGGACAAAGTGGCCCCAAAACAATATTCCTAAACCAATGTCCTCACAGATACAGCTGTACCAGCTACACACACACATTGTTTTCTTTGGTGTTTTGTGAACACTAAATTTAAGCACAAAACATTCCCTCATCCTTTATCCTAATCTTAACCATTCCACATATCTGTCTAATCCTAAAGACTCTAGTAAGACTAATTCTAATCCCAACTTCAAACTAAATCTTAAACCTAAAAACACACTCACTCAGCGGGAATGTACGAAATGTCCCCACAAGAACATGTCCCCACTACAATAGTATTTTTTCAAAACAATGTACCCACAAGTATGGCATTACCAACACACTCACACACACATACTTATAAGGCTGGCTGATAATATCTCTTATTTTACACAAATTTAAGCAAAGACAATTATGTACATTTTTACGCTTTACACTTTTCAGCCCAGAGCCATATTTACAGTACAATCAAAGGTGTAGATTTTTATATTTTTTTAAATGACAAAGGTGAAATTAATTACAAACATAAACATCAGAAAAGGCACAATATATTTTTCTAAAAAAAAAAAAAGATTAAGAAAAAAAAGATAAAATGTTAAAAAAACAAAAGCATACAACTTTGGTAACGCCCCCAGTTCAGGTCAGGGTCATTTAAACTCAATATCAAGAATGTGCCACATTATATGGTAAAAAAACCAATCCATCAAACAAAACGATACAAAACGCTAAAAAAACCCACAGTGTTCTTCAACACAGGAGTCTGAGTTCACATCATCAACTCAGAGGCAAACACATCTTTCGAACGTCATGATTGTTACGACACAGATTTGGAGGTGAAGTGAGGCGGAACTAAAAACAAAAACCTGAGTACTTTTCCCTCTACAGTTGGAGCGTACATGTACAGGTTGTAGCTGGGAGACCTCTGTGAAGCTGCTGTCTTTGACCTTGAGTTGCCTGATCAGTGATGCCGGCGTCCTCTTCTTTATGGCTCGTCCTCCTCAACAACATTTAAATCTGACGGGAGGAAGTCAACCTTATTGCCATTTACATGGAAACACAACACTGGAGCTGTTGCTATACAGTATATACAAGACTAATTGGCAAAGGTGAGAATATTCTGTCACAAAGTTGTTTTTAAGAGAGTGATGTACGTGATGAATGATGAAATAGTCTGGGAGTCTTTGGAAACAGTGTTAAACCCTTTGTGGGAGACAGTGAAGGCAGCTGGTGTGTCCCAGCACTGAGGCCATGGTGGGTCTCCGTCCCTCCTGTGTCGCCGTGAGTCGATGGGTTTGACAGCAGTGAGCTCACAGAGCTGTCCTGATACCTCAGTCCATGACTTCTTCCTTTGTGTAGTCTCTGGATTTCCTCTTGAAGAAGCCCATCTGAAGGAGGAGAAACTCCGTCAGTGAAGAGTTCACAGTCAGTGTTTAAGAAGGGACTGTTCACCATGACAGTTTTTATAGAGCCAAGAATTTGACCTGACCGGAAGGACAAGGTCAATTTATGACCCATTCTGGACATATTCTAACCAAAGTCCAAATTTTATGATTCTTTTTCTCTACTTTAACATGAGCTACAAGTCGCAAAGTCCTACGACAGATTTTCTAGTTTCAGTTAGTTGAGTTTTATTGCGTTAAATATCTATAGCTACCCCTCTAATTCTGTATATTGCAATATTTAATTTATAACTTTCAGTCTCTGCTATTTTTCTTGGCTTACTTTTGGTTAATTAAACCAATCTTTAAATCCAGGTTTTACACCAAGGGAATTTCCTTTTTCTTTTTAAAATATACAATATTTCAAAAGTAGTGTTTTCCACACATAACTGCAAACAGAAATCAAATTTTTATCATCACTAACATGTGATACATTTTCATTTCAACGTCCCATTGTTGTCAAGAATATAATTCCTAAGATCACTTATAAAGTCATAAATATAATGAACCAGTTTTATAATACAAACCACAGAAGACATTTCTATGAAGAAATGAACTAAATCACATGAAACTTAAAGTGAAGAAATTTCTTTTAATGAACTAAATCACATGAAACTTAAAGGAATAAAAAAACTGGTCTGGACAACCTTACCTTCCAAAGAGCAAAGATAACGAGCGCTAAGATCAGCAGTCCAATCAGGATGCTCACTATAATGACCCATATGGGGATCCCTCCTAACGTCTCTTTAGAAACCTGGATCTTCACCTGTGAGATCACACGCAGACATATCGTTACTTCAACACTTTGTTCAAAACACAAAGAGCAGATTTAATAATAAAAAACAAACGGAGTGACTTACAGTTCTGGTCTTGTCGCTGCTGTTCAGTACAAACAGACTGATATCTCTGACTTCCAGAGTTCCATTCACTAACATGTGCAGACTGCTAAACTCGCCCTGTTGGAAACATTTGATTAAATATGTTTGGTTTTCTTTCTCTCACGCAGCTGTGGTGTTGAACTCAGCCATCGTACCTTTATAAATGTAGGTTTCCACACTCTGAACGTGACATTGACCTGACTGAATTTGTCCTCAGGGATGGAGCAAGTGAACGACGCACAGGACAATTCTGCAGAACAGCTCTGTGGACAAAAAGAGAGACAGAGAGGAAAAAATACACTTGGATTAAAGACCTAGACGGGAGGCCGAGGGTTTGTTACCAAAGTTTTAGAAAGTCAACACTAGGTTTGTACAAGAATAGAATGTTGTATAAAACAGTAAGGTTACGTAGAACTCTGGTGTAAAATACATGATTGAGATATTTTGATTAAATGCTATAATATTATTCAGTACTTCATGGGTACTAATGGAGTCCTAGATTATATACTTCATGGGTACTAATGGAGTCCTAGAGACTTGATCTAATATAGAATCACTGTATATATTATTTTTAATTTGATATTTTTTGTAATTTTATTTTATAATACTGGAAGACTGTAATCTATTTAATGGGACTTACAACATGTTCACTGTGGAGTTTTTTCTTCAGCAGTATTTCCTAGTGAACAAATACTGTAGTATTCCTCTTTTTGGCCAATCTGTCTTCTTACTTTTTACGTCTTTTTTTTTTTACTTTTACTTCTTCTTACTAAGATGCCAGGAACTTGCAGTACTGCAAATTTAGAACAGGGTGGCAATACTCTGCATACCAAGGACGTCTCTATAGAATATCCAAACTGAAGCAAGAGAAACAGGTTTTACCAGACATTCTGTTGAAAGTCTGGTTACACCTGACATTTGCGGTCAGGCTTAGTCACAGTTAGAGTGACGTACAGTCACTAAATATCAAGATTTCATTTCCCTTCAAAACCAGAGCAGCTGCTGGAAAACCAAGCCGTTCTACTCACCAGTAGGAAGACACTGAGGGATTCCTTGTTTGGATCAGGCTTGACGATATTTGGGTTAATTTTATCAGGGTTAATCCAGCGCGCTGCATCACAGTAAACCTGCACAAAAAGACAAGAAGATTTGACTTGTTTTTTTATGTGTGTGTATAAAAGTGTGTGTACAGTAGGCGTGTGTTTTTGTGTACCTGAGGGCTGGTGGTGACATGTGTGAGGTAGAGTAGATTGTTCTGTCGGGGAGACAGGTGAGGGTAGGTCACTGTCAGGTGCAGGGGTGGAGTCACTGCATCACTCGTCTTCTCCACCTGTAGAAATCAGAGGTCGACGGTTACGGTACCTGACACTGACACACACTCACAGACACTGCACCTGCGAGAGTCAGCGACCGTCGGAATTTTACCGTGTAGCTGATGTTGACTTCTTCTCCAATCATCCTGGTGTCATTGAAAACCCGAGCGTACTGCTCACCTTCCTTTACCACGATGTGTTCGTCCACAGGTCGCCTGCAGGGGGCATATATTTCAAGGAGAAATCACAATTAGGTTTGATTGTTCTTCACCAAAGTGATTATAAAGACAGATGTCTAGCTAGCTTACAATAACACTAGGTTAAACAAGATGCTAGGTAGCTAGAAGAAGAACACATACTACATATTTGGATTTCATATCTAGTATTCATTTAACCCCAACAAAAAAAAAAAAAATTATGGGGCCTAAAAAAGTATACAAATTATGGGGCCTAAAAAAAGTATACAAATTATGGCAAATAGGGCAAATCCAAAACTTAGAAATTTTGCTGATGCAGCATTCCTTCCATCAGTTAACATTATATCAAGTAACTCAGTTAATAAAAAAAAAAGTTAGGTCACTTTTTAACAAGCTACAGTTGATCAGGTTTTTAGGCTCCATGTAAATAATAGAAAAGTTTCACATTTGTTTAAATGTTTAAATATTTAGGTGAAATTATTAGATTAAAAATGGGAATTAATTATAACCGCAGAATGGGCTGTGAGAGAAAAGTGCTTCAAAAATACGAAGGACTTTTCAAGGCCTAACAGTTTAGTCCTGTGAACTAAAAGGTCTGAAAATGAATCCCACAACTCTTTCCTTTAACAGCCAGCTGCTCTGCCCAAGTACTGATGTGGATGCCATCCGTAACCACAGTCATCCATCAGTCCATCTGTACAGACGCCTCTGTGTGTATGAACAGTGACAACATACAAACGTTCACTACTACTCACACTGAGAACACCAGTCCAGCCTCGTACTTTACAGGGATGGAAATCTGCACTGAGTTATCGTTCAGGGTCGACGCCAACTCTTCACTGTCACTGTGGGGAAAAATGCAGAACAAAATGCAGAAACTGGCAGAGAACGAAGCCTTTGCATTGATACAGAGTGATTTTCTGACCTCGTGGCTGTGACATTGATCAGGATTTCCTCTTGAACATGATAGGGATTGACCTCAAATTTCACTTTGAACGTTTCCTGTGGATGTAATTAAAAATCGTTACAGCTGTGTGGTCGTCATGGAGATGACAACCCAGTTACATGTGTCGACCAAAATACATGGAGATGGAAAGGAAGATGCCGGTCCGCAAATAAACAGGTCATCGACCACAAGCTCAACCACTGGCTCTGAATGAGTGGTCACTTATAACTGCAATACACATAAAGTATTTGGTGGGACCGTACTTTGGACAAATGAAAATATATCACGACAAACCTCGAAATTGTTTCCCAGGAATGGATATCCAACAGCACACTCCACTTTAGAGTTATCCAGAGAGCAGTCCTTCTCAGGCTGGCAGTCCAAAAAAAAAAAAAAAGAAAGAAAAAAAAAAACCCACCCATTATTGCGCTGCCATTCAAAGGATAAGGAGACCAGTGTGTAACCAAATCTCACCTCCACTTTAACGTAGTTGATGTTGTGTGTGAAGCTGAGGATGATCTTGGTGTTGTAGGCGTTGTCTTTGCTGTTCCTGATGTTTATGTTCACATCGAACTTGTCCTTGGAGGCTCTGATGATCATGCTGGGAGGGTCATTAAAGACGGTTAGTTGTAATGCACACAATCCACCACGGGACGGCAGTCATGCATTAGTGTGAACGGCTAATGAGGAATCACCGGTGAGTCATGTAGGAGTCAGGGTTAGAGCTAACTTTTTCAGGGTGGGCCTTGTTTATAATACAGTACTCTTCGGGGACAAGTACGTGTAGTACGTGTGTAGTTATTTTTGTTTTGTATTTGAATATTTATAGTAACTGTTTAAAAAGCCTGGCTTAGCTTTGAGAGAGATTTCATTACATTTCATCTTCCTGTGCGTTTTTACTATCGACTAATGTATCTCTGGATATGAAGATGGATTTTAAACATGGTACTGAAAAGTTTTTTAAAGTGATATTTGAAGGTATCACCAGTATGTCTTTAGTGAAGACTGATGAAGACTCTGTGGTGCTGTTACTGTGTGAGAAAGAGGAAGGATGAAGGCATTTCCTCTACTTCAAAACTTTTTTTCTCTAAGAACCTGATGGAATGTGCCGGACTTTGAATCTGAATTATGCAATTATGACTTTCATATCATGAAACAGTTTGTGTTGCATAATCAAAAATATCACTACAGTCATTAGTATTTATGGACAAAAAATTAAAAAATGATGACAGCAAAAGACATCATGCAAAGTCCAGAGTGTCAACGAACTTCACCTGCTGACACTTGGCTGTGCTCTGAGGGAGAGGTCAGCGATGCACCTCTCATCACTGCCACAGTCCACCAAATGGATCTATAAGACACAGACAGGCAGTACTTCACTACAGATGTAACAGAACCATCAGTACATTAGACCGGGAACAACCAGAAATAATTAAAAACAAAAGATTCACTTGCAGCAAAAACAGTCCCAGTGAAATTGTTCAAACATGTGTTAGCCACGAGGGCTCCATATTTAACACTGTCTGTGGGCCAAGTCATTCATTTTGCTATGTGGGAAAGTTGTCATATACAACTTCCCATCACAGTACGAAAGTCATTCAATTTGAGTAGGGCAGCCTTAAGTGAAATCAAAAAAAATTCTGATTGTCGGAATAATACGGCCAGACTGTATTTTTTTGTTTTGTTTTGTTTTTTCCAGGGCAACACACTAATATTATTAACTACATCTACTACTTCTTTTACTAGTTCTTTAATAATAATAATAATAATAATAATAATAATAATAATAATAATAATAATAATAATAATAATAATAATAATAATAATAATAATAATAATAATAATAATAATAATAATAATAATAATAATAATAATAATAATAATAATAATAATAATAATAATAATAATAATAATAATAATAATA